CTCGAGAGCCGACGGGTCGGGCAGCGCGCGCAGCGAGAGGCGTGCGGGCGCCGCCACGGACGGCAGCGTGGATGGCCGCGGCCGCGTCGCGCGCGTCTGCCGCTTGCTGCGGCGCTTTCTCTCCCCGGCACCGGCCGAGAGGCGCAGAGGGGAGGGAGGGGGGCGGTGTGGAGGCAATGATGTGCCGGCGCGAGTGGGACTAGGAACTCACTCGTGTAGAAGTACACGGACACGCAAAGGGTCCCCACCTTGCAGCCTTTAGGAGGTAGGTAGGTAGGTAGAAAGGTGAAGAAAACGAGGCTTAAGAAAGAAAAAAGAAAACAGAATATTAGCCACACCGAGAGGACGCTGACGAGCGTCTGCACCTACCCCGGGACAAACACACAACACGTATATGCCTCTCCCAGTGCGTCCTCGCTTCTCTCGCAAGTGGTGGCGCGCGCACGCCGTTGCGCTCCACGACACCTGGAATCTCGCCGCCCTCGGTGCGCTCAACGTCGCGCACGTTGCGTGGTGGTCTGGTGCAGCGGCGACGCCAGAGGTGCTCTCCCGGCTGTTTCTGGCCGACGTGACGTACATCGTGCTGGATGTGGTGTGGCTTGTCGGCCTGCCCGAGTGCGTCGGCGCCTCGGTGTGGTCGACGCTCGCGGCGCACCACTGCACGATCGCCTGCTGCTCGCCAATCGCGTTTGGGCGGCCCGTTCTGATGCGGCACATGCTGCGCTGCTGGCTGGTGGAGGTGTCGTCGTGGAACCACGTGGCGGCGCGCAAGTGGGAGTCGCGGCTCTTTGAGTGGATCAACAAGCCGCTGTACTTTGCCACGCGCTTCATCGGCTTCCCGCTCTCGTACTTTATCTACCACAGCGAGCGGGCGGCGCTCTCGCCCGCCGAGGTGCTTGCCGAGTCGCCGCTCCGCATCCACCTGCCGCTGTCGATCGCCCACTGGGTGCTGTACGGGCTCATGCTGCACTGGGGCTACAAGCTGCTGCTGCGCCCCGCCGCTCCGCCGCCCGCCAGCGACGAACCGCCCGCCAAGCTCAATGGCGGCGCGAGGGAGGGCGGCGACAACGGCGACAACGGCGACAACGGCGACAACGGCGACGATGGGCTCAGACAACGGCGGGGCGGCGGGGCGGGCGAGATAACGGACATCCAGGCGGCGGCCCTCGCCTCGCAAGCGCTGTACGCCTCGGCCGTGCTCGGCGACTGAGCGCGCGTCGCGACGTCTGAGGAGGCCTCTCAACTGTGTGCGTGTCAGAAGGGGGGCGGGACGGAGCTTCTTGGCGCAGAGACGAGTGGTCTCCCCGCCCCCCCTCAGCGAGGAGCGGCTCGGGCTGGCTTCAGCTCGGCGAGAGGGCGATGCCGAGCGACAGGAGCACGCAGGGTGCTTTATAAGGACCCGCCTCCGGTCGTGTGCGCGCATGCACCGGACCCGCCAGCGCCGCCGACCACAATCCACATCCGCGCGGACAGCCTGTCGCTGAATCTTGCATGACGTTATAACATCTGCGGGAGCTCCACAAACCAGGTTAGTGTCCGTAGCCATTTTTTTATTTCTATGACAAATTGCCTCTTCAACGCAAGCGCCTACCCCGTACACATATGTGCATGGAGATGTGCCATGTGCGACGGGCTACGGCACCGACGCACTCGCCGCCCGGATCCGCTGCACCTGTTTCTGGCACGACAGCGCCGCCTCGGGCTGGCGCAGCGCCGCCATGCAGACGCCGAGCGAGGCCCACGCCTCGACGTCCTCCATGCCGCCTGGCTCCTCGTCGATGAGCGCGTCGAAGAGGAGCCCCGCCTCCTCGTACCGCTCGAGCTCGAGCAGCGCCAGCCCCTCCCGCCGCCGCACCGCCCGCCGCTCGTCGGCCGCAGACGGCCCCGGCGGCGGCGCGAGCTCGAGCGCAGCCTGCAGCGAGACGAGCGCGGCGGCGTGCTGCCGCTGCGCCGCCTGCGCCTCCGCGAGCGAGACGAGGGCCGCAAAGTCCCTCCCTCGGCTGAGCTCGACGGCAGCCTCGAAGCAGCGCTGCGCGTCCGCGTGGCGGTCCTCGGACGCGAAGTTGTGGCCAAGCTGGCTGTGGCTCTCCGCGTCGCGCGGGTTCGCCTCGATCGCGAGCTGAAGCGCCTAAGAGGAGGACGGTGTGCACCGTCAAGAGGAGAGAGGCGTGGAGAGGCCTCGAGACCTCGAGAGCCGCAGCGCCGCGCTGCTGAGTGCGAGGTCGGCGGGCCGGCGGCGCGGCTGGCTGAAGAACTGCGGCTTGGTGCCGGCGGCGGCGCCGATGGCCTGTGGGGAGCTCGAGGAGAGGTGTATAGGTGGCGTCGGGCTTCGTCTCGGACGTGCCTCAGACTTGTCTCGACGTGTCTCGGAACCTGTCTCGTCGTGTCTCGAACGTGTCTCGCATCTCGCCTGCAGACGGCCGGCGAGGAGCGGGAGGGGGGCGGCAAGCAGGAAGAGGACGAGGAGGTGGCGCACGCCTACTACGTGTGTGGGAGTGAAGAGAGAGAGAGAGAGAAGAACAGTGCACTTTTCAGGTGCCGCGCGCCGCGCGTGACGGGTACGCCGCAGTGCGGTAGCCCTCCCGCATGCAGCAGCGCGCCTGTCCTCGGGAGGACCGCTCTTACTACCACGAGGAGTGTGATCGCGGCCCTGCCTAGTGCAGCAGCGCGCCGCCCCGCTCGCAGACAAGCGTCTCGCCAGAGTGCTCGAACCAGGTGCCTCCGCCCGCGTACGAATCGCTCGGCGAGAGGGCGACGTTCCTGCAGGCAGGAGCATACGTCCAAGGCAGCGCGAGCACTGCCGAAGTGGAGTGTACCCACAGCATCGCAGGAGTCCGAACAACAGCCCAGTCTGTCTCCCTCCGGCATCTAGCGCGCTGCTCATCGTGAGCAGCGAAAAGTCGCGGTGGATGGGCAGCGCGTTGTGGCCCGAGGCGGCGTCGTACTGCACGACGAGCGCCTGCGAGCACGCCGCGACGGCGAAGGCGGGATCGTCGTCCGGCGGTGGGCGCGCGGCAAGGCGAAGGCAGCTCATTCTCGCCATGGGGTGTCCCACTGTGAACCAGTATGCCGTGTATGATCTCAAAGTGGCAAGATGAGCGCACGCGTGGTCCATACTCTCTGTCCATCGCGCCGCTGCACCTCGTTGACGCGGAGGTGTGACGCTTCGAGGCCAAATGCGGAGGCGGCGGCCGGGAGCAGCGTGCTCCGCAACGCGCCGTTGAGCATCTCCAGCGCCGCAGGCATGTCGCTGACCTTGACCTCACGCGTGTAGCCCGCGAGAGGGTAGCGGCTGTCCCAGCCGCCCGCCGCGCCGTGCAGCAGCATCGCGTTTGTGAGGGCGCCGCACTCGGACTCGGAGAGGAGCGGGCCTTCCGACTCGAGGAGCAGCGGCTGATCCGCGCTGTAAAGCGTCTCCGAGACGGCTCCTGCGGGAACAGGATGCGCCGTCCATCCAGCGGCGTACTCGCCGTCGCCGTCCGAGGCGCAAACGGCAAAGGTGGCCTCGGCGGCCGCACACGACGCCGCGTGCTCCTGCAGCAGCTTTGCCTCGAGCGACCCGATCTTCTGTCGTGGCGGCGCCCGGCCCCGTCGCTTGCTGCTCGGCTTGCGCGGCTTTTTCGGCTGTCCAGTGCCGCCAGGGTTCGCCGCCCGCCCAAAGCCGCGGCCGGCCATCATGGCTGCCGGCGACACACGCAGCGGCGCGAGGCGGACATTGAGCGTGGCTAGTGCCACGAGTGCTGCTAGCAGCATATACATTGGGTGGGTCCCCAGAAGGCTACTAGCCCTCTGGGCGCCCGGCCGCGCGGCGAGCCGCAGCGTTTCTTTTCCCTTGTCGTGCCAGTGTGCTGTGAGAGAGGCTTGTATCTTAAGAATTCTTTTCCCTTTCGATTAATCTCTTTTTACACAGTTATTGTTTTTTTTTTTGTTTGGATCGCACCCATGTTTGTTTCCCGAGGAAACTCCGTCCGCGAAAATCGTCAATTTCACGGGCTCTGAGCCGAGTCTGAGGCTGGTTTGGGCCCAAATTCAGCCGACTCTCGGCAAAATACCGGGTATTTTGCGGGTACCTGGAAAACCCTGGGTATACCATGTAGATACACGTATGAGGTCCGGCGGGCGCTTCGTCTCCGGACCTGGCCGGCCTCGCGTCTCGGGCTCCCAAGCCGAACGAGTGCCAGGAGATGATCGACGAGCTGCGGCGGCGCGGACATGAGACCGAAGTCAGCAGAGCCGCTAGCCCGGCCGCAGCCACTGACCTCGTGACAGTTGCTAGCCAGGCTGCAGTCGCCACCCGCAAAGGTGCCTCGACTGGGACAGCCAATGCTTTGCCACATCGAAAGCAAGTCGGCTTCACACAGCTGCAGGAAGCGGTAGAGATTGGCTCTGTGGAGCCATCGACGCGATCTTCGAAAGTACCCGCTCTGGCAGCGGCTCCGCCGGCACGAACAGGACCGACAGCACCGCCGGCACCCCCAGCGAACGCCAGCGCGGGTGCGGGCGAGTCGCATGGGCAGGGCTCTGACCGTGGCTGGCGCCAATGCAAAAGCCACTGCCAACAGCTAGCCGCCGCCCTTTCTGCCATCACCGCCGTCTCTTCGTCTCGGGGATCGTCGCAGGGCACCTGTTTTTTGGCGGAGTATCCGCGCATCATTTATCCCAATCTCAGCCGCCTCTTTCGCCTCCCATGCCGTCAGCGTCACTGCTGCTGCCGCCGCCGCCTCACTTACCACCGTCGCCGCCTCCTCACTCGCCGCCCACACAACCACCATGGCCATCGCCGCCGCCGACGGCACCTTCGGCCTCTGAGGTGGTGGCGGAGATCAACGCATTATGGCCGAGCAGGTCTCCAGCTCGCCCCCGTGGCGTAGTGGCGTACGTGCTGGATAATGGTGGCGGCCCTCATAGCCAAGAGGAGCTGAACAAGTACAAGGATGTGACTGGGACTCAGCTGTGGGCGCGAGTGGGGCAGCCTGTAAGCGGCGTGGTAGCCGTCTCTGCCGCGGACCGCATATCCGTGAGCATTATCAACTACCTGCATCAAGGGACGTACAGACCCGGTGTGATCTTCAGAAGCGGGGTCATGGGTCCAGCCTTGCGCCGGATCGGTGAGCAGATGATCGAGTACACATACATGCCGATGCTGGTCCTCCGCCGGGCCGCTGCGCTAGAGCGGATGAATTGTTGCTACCCGCACGACGGCGGGAGCAACGGGTTCAATTGCTTGCGCCGGGGGGGTGACGTGCACTGCACTCCTGGGTGCAGGCCCAATGCTCTGCGTCACGTCCCGCTCGAGACCTGCCTGGCTCACTCGGATGGCTTTTGGGGTTACAACGAGCTCGTTCTCGACGTGTGGCGAGACGGAGGGTGGGGAGCAGGAGCGGCGCTTGCGCACTTTGTCCAGGCGGTCGCGATTGATTCGCGGGCAAGCCGTGTCACTTTGGCGCTGGCTCGCGCCGTGCAGGACGCCGCTAGCGTCGCCGGGCTCCCCCTGCCTCTCCTCGAGTACAATCCCGGCAATGCGGCGGCGCCATTCCGGGTTCTGCGCGCGCTGCCGGCTGAGTGAGGCGCTTGATGTTAGAAAGTCTGCAAAACGACAAAGTGCACAAACACATCGGTGTGCAAAAAAAATGGATAGTGCATTCTTACTCGACGAGCGGGGACCCGAGGGACCATGTGGAAGACGGCTAGTGCTAGTCCCCCATCGGGAGGACGACCCCGGCTAGTCGCCGACCACACCCACAAAGAACCCTGCACAAAGATCGCAAGGGCGGGGGCCTGTTCCTTTTTACCCATCTCACAGTAGAGAGGTGTCCGTTTTTATTTATTCTAGCTTGGGATGTCCGTTGTATTTATTTATTCCTAGCTTGGGATGTCCGTTTTATTTATTGCCTTTTTACTCATCTCACAGTAGAGGTGTGCGTTTTTGTTGATCGCTCCTCTTCACAAACCCCGCACGGGCGGGGGCCTGTTCCTTTTTACCCATCTCACAGTAGAGAGGTGTCCGTTAGTAGAGAGGTGTCCGTTTTTATTTATTGAGCCCGCCGGAGTCTCCCGGGCAATTTGTTCGGTGCCGCGCCAGCGGGCCTCTTGATGAGCGAGTCGTGCTTCGCGGCCGTCGCCGCGATTCCCGTGCCGCCGCCACGGAAGGTGGCACGTGCTTTTGCGAAGCCCACTTTGCGGCCTTTGCCGCTTGCCCACCGCTTGGCTTCGTCGACGGGCGAGTGCCTTACCATCGGCACTCGCCTCGGCGTTACTCGAAGCTGCGAGCTCAGCTGCGGCCACAAGAGCGGCCTGCTTGGCACGCAGCTGCGTAATCGTCGGCCCGCGTGCGCGGCTCTTCACGGCCTGTGCCGGGGAGTTGGCGTTCACGCGCTCAATCATCATCGTCATGGCTGTGTGCATGCTTCTCGCTCGTGCGTCCTTGGAAGTTGTGCGCCTCCTTCTCCTATGAGCTCGTATGCCACGTCGCCGCCTGTGTTTGGGTTTCTATGTTTGCGATTTGGAATTTGGTATTTGTCCAGCTCTTTGTTTATTTATTTATTTACTCGACGAGCGACGTGGGTCCCGTCGGCGCCCGCGGGCCGCTCTCTCCAAATCGTGCACATCATACTCGACACATAACCCGTCACATAGCAGCGAGCCCCCCCACGTGCCACGAGCCAATATGGCTCCAAGCTGCAGAACATGTGCGGGCCAGCGCCTATGACGCTCAAGGAGTGAGGCGCAAAGCGCGCCCCGAAGAAAATTTTGAGGGTTGTGGAGGGCTAGATGCGATCTCTATTAAGAGTTTGACTCACACGTAGGAACCACTCGGCCCACCCACAGGCCCAGTCTCAAGTGGCAGCGCTCCACGCCTACCCAGCGGCGCGCTCCGCGCGTGCTTTCCAGCGGCGTGCTCCGCGCGCGGTGCTCTGTCTGCGGCAGTACTACTGCATCTTCCGCAGCTCCAGCAGGTATCAGCAGTGAGTTCACCGCCAGTTATCTGCGCCTCCGTTCGTCGCTCTCGTGCTTGATCGTCAGGCCGTGCTCTCACGTCGCCGGAGCTACCTCGGCTATCGGAACCATTTTACAAGTTTGCCCGCCGACATGTCCGGTCCGGCTCAGTCGAGGCAATGTCGCTCGGCGCTCGCTGGCTCCGTGGATGCTTGTGCTGCTGAGCAATCCAGGCGCACTTTGGCAACCGGCGGCAACGACTTGCGGCGTCAGCATTCGAACGGTTGCGTTGATTTGCTTGCTCCGCGGTATCTCGCCGGCGCGCTCCGCGCGTGTGTCTAGCTAGCGCGCTCCGCGCGTATGTCCGAGTAGCACCAGCGCGCTCCGCGCGCACCATAATCTCAGTGCCTATGCTTATAGCCACTAAAAGCTCGTTTCTGCAGCTTGGATATGGCTTTAGGCTGAACAAGCTTTTCCTCTCGCACCCCGTCTCTTTTCCTTTCCTTTTTTCTCTACAGCACCCTCTCTTTTCCTCTCTATTTTCCCGGGGAAACCATCAAATTTTCCGGGCTCCGAGCCGAGTCTGAGGCTGGTTTGGGCCCAAAATCAGCCAAATCGGCAAAATACCGGGTATTTTGCGGGTATACCTGGAAAACCCCGGGTATACCTGGAAAATACCCTGCGACCGCCTGGGTATCGTGCCGATTTCCTCAATTTTGCGTCAGATTTTGCCCCAGACCAGCTCTCAGACTCAGGGAAACTCGCGAGTTTCCAGAATGGAGCACCAAACACCCTCTGTTTTCCCTGGAAATTTCCGGAAACGCAAAGTGCTGGGGACCCTCTGTTTTCCTTTTTGTTTGCCGGAAAAGCTTGTGCAGGCCAAATATGGCTCTCCCCCACCCTGGACGGGAGTTGGCTGGGACAGGCCGGCTGCTGAAGGCGTGTCACAAATGTCCATGGAGGACGAGCGCTTTGTCGTTGTTGCCGAGCAGCTCGGCAGTCGCACGCAACGCCAAGTCATCTCGCACCGGGGCGGCGCTGCCCTGCGGTGGGAGGAAGTGATCGCTCTCTGGCGCACGGATGCCGCGTTCGCTCTCTTTTTCACGGCCGTCCTTGTTAGCTACGATGTTGTAAATTTCTTTTTAACCAGAATAATAGTTAGGTTTCTTGTAAATCGGTGAGCCTGTGTGTGTGCCAGTCCGCGCCAAGTGAGCGACCATGTGGTGCCAGTGTGCTGTGAGAGAGGCTTGTATCTTAAGAATTCTTTTCACCCGCTATTATTATTTCTTCGCCGCCGGCGTCGGTCCGAACACTGCTCCCTCCGCGCTCTTGGAAGCTCCTGCTCCCTCGCTTCCACTCTCCGTATGGACACATCGGGATACCCCAACGCCTACGCTTCGTCCGCCTCCTTCGACGCCGCCCTCGCTGTGGCCGAGAAGGAGGCGGCGGCAGCCCGCGCTTCAGCTGAGCGCTCGGCGACGTTGCTGTCCAAGATGTCGCGCAGCGGCTCTCTGGGCAGCGGCCGCCGCAGCCAGGGCTATGCGCTCCTCGATGCGGCCGGCGAGACGCTGCTCGCGCGCGCCGTCAGCCCAGACAGAGGAGGCAGTCCCGTGCGGTGGCCGCCGGGCCAGGGAAACGGCGGCGCCGCGCGCGTGGCGGCGCAGCGCTCGCTCAACCTCGAGCTCCCGGTCAAGGAGGACGGGCTCGGCGCGGAGGCGAAGGCGCCGGTGCTGGGTCGCTCAAAGTCGGGCACCGAGCTCGACGATATGGAGGAGCTCGCGATCCGCGTCTCGCTCCGGCTCGAGGCCGAGGAGAGCGGCGGTGGGCGGCCGAGTCTCAAGCGCCAGTCCTCCGCCAACGAGCGCGAGGCGCCGCTCAAGGAGCTATGGGACGCGGTCTTCAACTCCGACGAGCCGTCCGTCTCGCCCGCAAAGCTGTTCTCCTTCGCGTCGGCGAGATGACGCCGAGATGCCGCCGAGATGCCGCCGAGATGCGACCACAGCTCCTCTCGCCGCCTGCATCGGCGCGTCTCCGGCCTCGGCCTTGCCTCTCCTTCCCCGCCCCTCTCCCCCCGCCGCTCGTTTCTCCTCCCCCCTCGCTCCCTCGCTTCCCCCTCTCCTCCCTCTCCTCCTCCGCCGCCGCGCTCTCCGCGTCCTCTGACGGGAGCCATGATGATGGGAGCCGCCCTCGCCAAGCGCGGCTCACCTCATTGCCTCCCTCACCCCCCACCCCACCCCAAACAGGCGTACGACTGGACGCTGCTACTGCTCGCGTCGCTCTTCGCCTTCGTCTCCGGCGGCTGCCTGCCCGCCACGCTCTACTTCTTCTCGGGGACGATGGACTCGGTCGGCGCGGCGATGGCGGGCGGCTTCAACAGCGACGAGATGCTGCACCAGTCAAAGATGATCATGGGGGTGGGGTGCGTCTACGCGGCGAGCACCGCGGCGTACACCGCCCTCGCAGACATCGCAAAGGTCTTTCTCGAGACTAGCTTGACACTGGCGGATGCCATCTCATGTCACGGCGCACCGCCTCGTAGGCGCACCAGACGGCAGAGTACAAGAAGCGGTACCTCGGCTCGATCCTGCGGCAGGACGTGGGATGGTTCGACACCTCCAACCCGCAGGAGCGCAAACTGCCTCTGGTCCGTACCCGCCTCCTCGTCATGGGTGTGACGCCGGCGCCTCCCGCCCGCAGGAGCTGTCGACCCGCTTCGGCGAGGCTATGCTCGCCATCGAGGAGGGCGTCTCCTTCAAGGCGAGAGTACCCGAGAGTACCCGAGATTATCCCGAGATTACCCCGAGATGCTCGCCATAGAGGAGGGCGTCTCCTTGAAGGCGACGGTTCAGACGAGGCGGTGTGTGCACCGGATTTCCCCGCCCCACTCCACTTGCCCCCCCCCCCCCCCCTCCCCCACCACCCACCACCCACCACCCACCACCCACCACCCACCACCCACCACCCACCACCCACCACCCCTCCAGGCGGTGATGATGCTCGAGGCGGTCTATACACTCGTCTTTTCGTACGCACTCGGCTTCTACTACGGCTGGGACATCTGCCTCGTCGTCTTTGCCGTCTCGCCCATCGCCGGACTCTCGGGCGCCATCGCCATCTTCATCGCGCTCACCGCGGGTCAAACGACGCCGGGCGCAGGACGCGTCTCCACAGCCGTCGTGGTCTCAGCGCACCTTTCTCTTCTACAGGCCAAAAGATGTCGGACGCGTACGCCGCCGCCGGTGCGATCGCCTCCGAGGCGCTCTCGTCGATCCGCACCGTCGCCGCCTTTGGGCTCGAGCGGGTGGCGGCGGAGAGGTACGAGCGCAAGCTCAAAAAGGCGGAGAAGATCGGCATCGCGCTCGTCTGGCAGGCTGGGTTCGCGATGTCGTGGATGATCGCCGCCATCTGCATCATGATGGTGTCGGGGCTCCTGTACGGCGGCCTCGACGTCTCCTCCGAGCAGCAGGCATCCGCCTTCGAGTACGCCGTCGACATGACTTGGGGCCAGATCTTCGACTCGATGGGCATGTTCGAGACGATGAAGGCGCAGGCGCTCGGCTCGCCGCCGCCGCCGCCGCCAACCTCGCCAGGCGGCGGCGGCGGCGGCGGCTGGTTCGGGGGCGGGCCGGACTGGGGCAGCATCGCGGGGAGCGCCATCGGCGGGCTCGAGGGCGCGGGCGCGTGGGCGGCGGGCACGCTGGGATACGACAGCGTGCACTACAAGTACTGCACGTACGACTGCGGCGACACGTTCAACATGCTCAACCTCGACTTTCAGTCGGCGCTCTCGCTGTACGCGGGGCAGGAGATGCCCTTCGCGGCGCGCAGCGCGCTCGGCATGGGCTCGTGCGACTCGGAAAAGTTCAACCTGCAGCCCTTCCAGCTCACTTGCGCCACGGCGGGCGCCCTGGTGCAGAACGCCACGGCGCTGCGCATGTTTCTGCAGCAGGACAACGCGACCATCTTCGAGTCGTACGCGGTCGAGGCGGGCTCGTGGATGCCGTGCCGCCGCACCGGCGCGAGCGTGCTGCTCGCCATGTTTGCGGTGCAGATTGGCGCCATGCATTTCGTGCTCATCGCGCAGAACGCCGCCGTGCTGATGAAGGCATGCCGCGTCGCAGCACCTCGCCCAATCTCGCCTCATCGCGCCTCATCGCGGGTCCTCTCTTGATGAAGGCGTGCCGCGTCGCTGCGCCCGTCCACGAGACCATCGAGCGCGTGCCGCAGATCAACTCGTTCGCGACGGGCGGCGTCAAGCTGCAGGCTGTGCGCGGTGACATCTCGGTGCGCGACGTGGTCTTCGCGTACCCCGCCGCGCCCGAACACGTCGTCTGCAACGGCTACTCGCTCGAGATTGGCGCGGGGCAGACGTGCGCGCTTTGCGGCCCGTCCGGCAGCGGCAAGTCGACCATCATCAACCTAATCGAGCGCTTCTACGACCCCATCTCGGGAGCCGTCTTTTTGGACGGCGTCGACCTGCGAGACGTCAACGTGCGCTGGCTGCGGCAGCAGATCGGCCTCGTGGGGCAGGAGCCGGTCCTCTTTGTGGGAACCGTCGCCGAGAACATCGCGTACGGCAAGGAGGGCGCGAGCCGCGAGGAGGTGGAGGAGGCGGCGCGCAACGCGAACGCGCACGGCTTCATCATGAGCAACCTGCCGAATGGGTACGAGTCATCGGTGGGGCAGGGCGGCGGCATGCTGTCCGGCGGGCAGAAGCAGCGCATCGCGATAGCGCGCGCCGTCGTGCGCAAGCCGGCCATCCTGCTGCTCGACGAGGCGACGTCGGCGCTCGACACGACGAGCGAGCGGGTGGTGCAGGCGGCGATCGACGAGATCATGCAGAAGCAGCGGCGGACGACAGTCACGATCGCCCACCGGCTGAGCACCATCCGGCACGCCGACAAGATCGCAGTCGTCGACCAGGGTGTGGTGGTCGAGCAAGGCACGTGGGACGAGCTCGTCGCCATCGACGGAGGCAAGTTCCAGGAGCTCGCCAACAGGCAGCCCGCCCCCGCGCCGGACGAGGCCGCCGTGCCCGCCGACGCCGACGACGACGTGCTGATCACGGCCTACCCTTCTCTCGTCTCGTCCACGAGCCGCACCACGGCCGGCGCCGGCGACACGGCGCTGCTGCCGCACTCGCCCCTCCCGCCCGGACAGCACTTCCAGTGGAGCGGCAAGGCGGGCGCGCCGGAGCTGTCGGTGGGCAAGCACGACGAGAAAGAGTGGGTCTTCTGGCGCGTCTCGCGGCTGCAGAAGCGGGGCGACGGCCTCCTCCTCGCCATCGGCGCCCGCCCCCTCGGCGGTGGACGGCCGGCCAGCCGAGCTGCCTCATTAGCAACGCGTCCTTCGTGATGGATAGGCTCCTTCTTCTCGATGCTCGACGGCTGGGCGGTTCCCGCGCTCGGCTTCGCCTTCACGAAGCTCTCCGTCTCCCTCTTCCGGACCGACCCAGGCCGCATCCACGACGACGTCATCTTTTGGGCCCGCTCGTACGTCGCCGCCAGACCGCGCGAGATTGCCCGAGATGACCCGAGATTGTCCGAGACTAGGCCATCGCGTACGTCGCCATCGGTTTCGCCTTCGTTCCCGTCGTCACTTGCGAGCTCGGCCTCTTTGGCATGACCGGCGAGCACCTCACGCGCAACTTGCGCGCCGTGAGCATCCGCTCGCTCGTCAAGCAGGACATCGGACGACTAGTGGATATAGCAATCGCTCGACTCCCTCCCTAACCGGCGCCGCTCGCCCGTGCAGGAGATCGGTTTCTTCGACGACCCGGAGAACTCTGCCGGCGCACTCACCCTCTTCCTCGGCGAGAAGCTGACGCTGGTGCAGGCGGTCAACGGCGAGAAGCTCGCCGTCGCCATCCGCCAGATCTCGACCATCTGCTTCGGCACGTTCCTCGTCTTCAAGTACGGCTACTGGCAGCTCGGCGTCGTGATGCTCGCGTCGGCGCCCGTTATGGCCGTGGCGATGGGTCTGCTGCTCGTCGTCGTCTTCGGGATCAAGAATCCGCGCCCGACGGGCGAGGGGCCGCAGGCGCAGAAGAATGTCGGCTCGCTCGTGGGCGAGGTGGTGCTCGGCATCCGGACCGTCGCATCGTACGGCGCAGAGCGGCGCTTCTACGAGGAGTACGAGCGGACCTGCGACACGCAGTTGCGGCAGGCGACGCGCGCCTCGGCGCTGACCGGCTGCGCCGTCGGCATCGGCAAGGGCGCGCCCGTCATCTTCATCGGCGCCGTCTGCTACTATGGCTGCATCCTGATCACGGCGGACGTCGAGAAGCTGACGGCAAACATCATGAAGATGTTCCTCGACCCGGATGCGGTCGCCGACGGCGACATCCAGGCCGACGCCGTGACGGGCTGCGCCGACGCGCAGATCTACGAGCTGCTCGAGAAGTTCCTCATCCCCGTAATGGTCATCTTCTTCATGTCGATCGGCATGGGCGCCGTCGGAGTCATCGTGACGGACTCGCAGAACGCGCTCTCCGCCGCGCGCCTCCTGTTTGCCCTCCTCTCGCGCCGCTCGCGCATCGACCCCACCGACAACAAGGGCACGCGCTTGCGCGGGCTGCGCGGCGACATATCGGTGCAGAATGTCATCTTTGCGTACCCCGCCGCGCCCGACCACATCATCTGCAACGGCTACTCCCTCGAGATTGGCGCGGGGCAGACGTGCGCGCTTTGCGGCCCGTCCGGCAGCGGCAAGTCGACCATCATCAACCTAATCGAGCGCTTCTACGACCCCATCTCGGGAGCCGTCTTCCTGGACGGCGTCGACCTGCGAAATATTAACGTGCGCTGGCTGCGCTCGCAGATCGCGCTGGTGGGGCAGGAGCCGGTCCTCTTCCTTGGCACCGTCGCCGAGAACATCGCGTACGGCAAGGAGGGCGCGAGCCGCGAGGAGGTGGAGGAGGCGGCGCGCAACGCGAACGCGCACGGCTTCATCATGAGCAACCTGCCGCACGGATACAACACCAACGTGGGCATCCGGGGCGGCATGCTGTCCGGCGGGCAGAAGCAGCGCATCGCGATAGCGCGCGCCGTCGTGCGCAAGCCGGCCATCCTGCTGCTCGACGAGGCGACGTCGGCGCTCGACACGACGAGCGAGCGGGTGGTGCAGGCGGCGATCGACGAGATCATGCAGAAGCAGCGGCGGACGACGGTCACGATCGCCCACCGGCTGAGCACCATCCGGCACGCCGACAAGATCGCAGTCGTCGACCGCGGCGTCGTCGTGGAGCAGGGACGGCACGAGGAGCTCATGTCGCTGAACGGCGTCTATGCCGGCTTGATAGCTGCACAAAACACATGAGTTCCAGCTTCTGCCCCGCGGGCGCGTGGCAGCCACTACGTGATAGGCAAAGGCGCGCGCTCTGCGCACGGTCGGCAAACACCTCCGCTCTCTGCTGTGTGTGCATTTAACTGCTCTTATCTCGTGCCTGAGTTCCGTGTGTACATGCCGCTCTCGCTCTGAAGGAAGCATGCCATTTATGAGATTAAGAGACATATGTGTGCTTAGTTTTGCTCGCACTCGCATCGCTGGCGAGTCTCACGAGCTGTCACAGCTCACCGATGGCGGTGGCCCGCGTGGGCCGTGGCCGGTGCAGCTCCGAGGCGAGCTGCCAGAGGCAGAGCTGGCAGCTGCAGAGTGCGCAGGGTCTCGGCAGCTGGGTCTGGAACCGTCGCCGGCGCCGGCGCCGATGCCGGTGCCGGTGGGAGCGCAGCTGCCTGGCAGCTGTGTTAGCGTATCACGACTGAGACGAGCGCAGAGGCGGAGTGGCCGCGGCCTTGAAACACAGCGTGAAGCACCGCCGAATGCGCCGCTGCCTCTTCCAGCGTCGCATGAGCACCTCCACGTCGGGTGGTGGCTGCAGAGAGCTGCAGCCATTCACCTGTGGCAATGGTCGCGAGTGTGATGCCCACACCCGGAGCGGTCATTGGCATTCGCATAGTTTTATTGTCACGGTGTCGCTCGCATTTGTACTGCTCCGGTAGGCAAACCTTGAGGGATTGCAGCAGCGGCAACGACGAGAGGTCGGGCAAACTTTCGAGCGAAGAGCAGTCTTCCAGGTCGAGCGTGTGAAGCGAACGGAGCGATGCCATGTCGGGCAGTGCCTAGGCTTTATGCAACGGTGTGGATGTGCTCGCCGAGATGGCTCACCGCCATCAATTTCATGAGGAAGGAGTGGCTCCCACGTGTCCCCGGAATATACCTTGAGACCCCAGCAACCACCGAGCTCAAACGTCTGCAGCGACTGGAGCGCGTTCAGGCCGGGGAGCGCCTGCAGCCCGGGAGGCACAGTGGGACAGGGGGCCGGCATGTAGCTAGGCCGGTTACGTGGCACCGTGAGCTTTGCGCAGCGTCCAAGGTACAACGCCCGCAGCCGGGTCTGCGCCGCAAGGCTCGGGAGCGCCTGCGGCATCCGACCTGTTTGAAAATTCGTCCGAGGGGGGGGAGGGCAGAGCCACTACCTCGAGTGAGCTGCAGCCGCCGAGATCGAGTGCGGTGAGGCTGCCAAGGTTCGACAGGTCGGGCAGCGCCTTGAGCTTCCGGCATCCGCCGCCGAGGTCGAGGGTCTGCAAGGCTGGCAGCGACTCGAGCTCTGGGAGTGCTGTCAAAGCGCCGCACGAGCTGAGGTCGAGCATTTGCAGCGAGGTGAGACCCGAGAGGGCAGGCAGCGCCGCCATCGAAGTGCAGCCGCTCATGTCGAGCGTCTGCAGAGCTGCCAGACCCGACAGGTCCGGCAGCTCTGCAAGGCTCGTGCAGCCTGACAGGTCGAGGTCTTGCAACGAGCTGAGCGCCTAGACGCACACGGAACAGCCTGTGTCCGCGCGCGAGTGCGTAGCCTTTCGCGCAGGGCACTGTGCCTTGAGGCTGGGCAGAGACTTGAGCTGAGAGCATCCGCTGAGATCGATCATTTGCAGTGCAGTCAGTGCCGATAGATTCGATAGCGCGATGAGCGAGGTGCAGCGACCCACGTAGAGCGTGCGCAGCGTCGTGAAGGCTGAGAGGTCGGCGAGCGAGAGGAGAGAGGTGCAAACCTTCACCTCAAGCGTCGTCAGGGTGGGAAGCGATAGACCCTTGAACGCCGCGGCCATATCCGCCTCCTGCATCCCCATGCAGTCAAGAATGAGCGTCTCGAGCGCACCGCAGTGGCGCAACGCCTTTCCGAGATCGCTGTAGTCTTCCGAGCTCCACTCGAGCTGCTCGAAGGCGAGCTTCTTGGCACTACCCAGATAGGCTATCACCACCTCGCGGTACAACTGTGCCACCGTTGCAACGTCGGCACTGATGGAGAAACGCTTGCTCTCGAGAAGCGCGTCGAACGACTCGGGCGAGAGAGGTGCACACCGGCCGGTGACGCTCAAGGTGCCACGAACGCCGGCCTCTTGGGGGTCGATGTACGACCCCTGCTTGGCGAGCTCGCTCACGCTCCGATCGGCGAAGGGCTTGCCGCCGATGCGCAGCGCGCGCGGCGGACCAATACAAGCCATGTCGATCGTGAAGCGGCCGAGGTCGAGAATTACTTCGGGCCTCTTCATCAGCGTCGCCAAAAGCCTCTCAAAGGTGCACCTACGATGGCGTGCTTGCGATGTGAGTGGTGCAGCGACCCCAAGTGAATCAAGGAGGGGCGCACACCAGCCGCGATCCTCAAAGCCACCGTCGACCGCCGCTCCCGCTGGAGCCCGGGTGCTCAGCAGACTCGCGATCGCTGGGTGGCTGAAGATGACACCCAGCCCGTCTAGACCCTGCTTTCGCAAGGCCGCGTCGTCCGCCGCGCCCACTACCGAGGCGTGGTCGATAAAGATCCCGAAGTCGGCACTCGACCGCACCGCGTCGTCGCTGAGCAGCTCCCCCGCCTCGTCCTCCACCCGCGCCTCTCGCCCCTCGATCTCAGCGCAGTGGAGAAGTTGACGCACGCGCTCCGAGTAGTACCACTCAACAAACGGCAGCCAGAGCTCGCGCAGACATCGGCCGTTTGGGTCCGGGTGCGAGGCATCGAGGTGCATGTATGATATCGCCGCTGCTGAGGGGAAAGCGATTGGAACAGGGAGTGGCTTCCGCTTCTGGGCCGTTGCCCATCCCTCGCGCCGCGCGCCGGCGTACTGCGAACTGGCCAGCTCAGCGAGGATACGGTCCAACATCGCGCCGCATGCGTACGGCGCATCGCCGTACGCCTTCTCGAGCTCCCGACGTGACCCGAGCCTTTCCTTCTCATTGCCTGCCGCCTGAAAGTGCTCGAGCAACCAGCGGGCCCGCACGAGCCGGAGAGGGGCGTCGCCTGAGCCGGTGTAGAGAAGCTCACGCAGGGAAGCGACCTCTGCGAACTTCTCCACCATGGAGCGACGATGGTGCAGGAGACCAGCGGAGCGTCGAGAGCGCACGCCCGGGGGCAGGCTCGCAAGAGCGTCGGGTCTCTTTTCCTGTCGCCCGAAGTAAAATTCATCGCGAGTTGGTAAAACCCCGCGGCGCGCTGCCGTTTTCTTTCTTTTCTTTCGGAGCTCTTCATCCGACCCTTGAGCACTTGAGCACTATTCCGCGTGGTACGGGACCCCTCGACCCTTGAGAGCACTTGAGCATTGGAAGGGAAGGGACAAGTTCATGCATCATGGCAAGCGTCCGGCACTAGCTCTCTGTACTCAAACTCAGGGAGGGACGTCCTCAGAGTGCTGCACGCGCTCTTCTCTCCCTAGACTCTACGAGCGCTGCGCTGCCTCCGCCGCCGTCCTGGCTGCAACCGCCCTGGCAGCCCTCGAAGCGGCGAGTGTGAACACACACACACACACACACACACACACACACACACACACACACACACACACACACACACACACACACACACACACACACACACACACACACACACACACACACACACACACACACACACACACACACACACACACACACACACACACACACACACACACACACACACACACACACACACACACACACACACACACACACACACACACACACACACCCTTCGATTCAAGGGCGGTCTCCGGCGCCGCGCCTAAAAAGAAATGACGTTGCGAGCGTCGTCGTCAGACGCCGCTCCCAGCAGCCCGCCGGGCTGGGATGCTCTCTCTCGTCGTGTCCGTCGGCGGCCAGTGCGACGTGACGCTTCTGCCCAAGAGCCTGCAATGCAAAGGTCGCGCAGCTGTCCTCAGCTGGCTGGTGCAGAACGAGCACTCCTGCCTACCGCCAACCCCGCACGACTGCTTTCAGTTTGGCGTGCCGTCCGAGATGAAGAGCGTCTCTTCCGTTGCCACGCACCGCACGTATTGGGGCTTTGATTCGTTCCGGGGGCTCCCAGATGCAACGGGGGAGACCTATCAAAACCCCCTTTGGAAGCCGGGCACGTTCTCGGATGTCCATGAGCTGAGCGGCCGCTACCACGTGAAGTCGAAGCCTCGAGAGGGCATTTGGGACTACATCCCAAAGACGAGAGAGTCGAAGCCGCTCAGCGTCGACGAGGCAATCGACAAGCGTATGAAGCAATTGAACGGTCACGCCAGTCGGATTCGCTTGATTGGGGGATATTATAACGAGTCGCTCACCCCGGCGGTCGCGGCCTCGGCTTTGCCAGCGCTATTTGCTGACTTCAACTGCGACCTATACACTTCCACCATGGACGCGCAGCGATGGCTGTTTGAACACAACCTGCTGCGAGCGGGGTCCATTATCTCGTACGACGATTGGTTCCACACACCCTTTGGCGCGGGAGAGTCGGCCGCACACATGGAAATCGCTCGGCTGTATCGAGTGCACTTTGAGCACTTGAGCGCGAGCCTGCGGCAGGGTCCAGGCGCGGCATGTAAATTGGTGTTCTTTCGTATTAGGTCGGTTGGCGTGCGCGCGCATGCAGACATCACACCTCGTCTCAACCACACGTTTTACTGGAACTGAAACGGGCACATTGCGAGGAAATGAGAAAGTGAGTGAGTGAGTCTTGATACGAAACCGCGACGGGATTTCGACGCTCCACACACACACACACACCTCACTCCTCAGTGGACAGTTTCAGCGCTCAGACGAGGTGACGGCTCGCCAGTCGACTCGCATCGGTTGCCTCTCCATGTGAGACCCCACGGCGGAGGAGCTATTCTCGCGTCCACCACCACACCTGGCTCCAACGTGGACACACCCATAGCTGGGGACACTAGTCACTAAACGATCCGTGGCTCGCGCCGCTCGGGCGCATCCGTCTGGCGCGGACGGCGAGCTCGAGAGGTCTCGAGAGCGCGCGCAGAACTCCCCGCGCCGTGGCAGAAGCGGCTCTCCAGTCCTCCAGACGCTGGCTGTCTTTTCAGCTTATCCCAAGAGGCGTACAGTACAAGCATCTCACAAAAGACATACGGCGCGACCCAATCAGATTCAGAAGAGTCTGAGTCAGCGTCTCTGCTAGCTGGGAGCTGGGTTCAGCAGCCTCCTTCCCCCCCACAGGCGCCCGTCCTCAAGATCACCGAGGTCGTGGCCGACGGTCTGCACAGCCCGCTCACCAAGCACGGAGGCTGGCCGGTCGTCGACGGCGTCGCGACCTCGTACAACAGCGCGGCTGTCGTCGCGCGCAACAAGTACCTCGTGCCGTGGGAGTGGTGGTGTGACTGCTCCTGTGGTGCGGGCGACGGCAGAGGAAGCCGTCGGCCGCGCCTCGCCTGTCGCGTGAATCGTGTCGTGCGACCGCCTTTTCTTGTAAAATTCTATAAATAAATAAATAAAACGGGCACGCCAAACGAGGGGTGGGAGAAGGACAGGGTCCCCACCTGCGCGAGCAGGATCTTGTAAGGACGATCAGGGACACAGGGGAACGGGAGCGGGGAGCGCATCGCGACACGGAGGGGGGCTGGGCAGGGTTCACCCACACGACAGGGTCCCAGGGATTCCTCTCTCGTATAGGACAGGTTGCACCCGGCGGCACGGGGGCAGGCGCGGGCCTCCTACTGGTTGCGCTCTCCTAGTTCTCCTGCTCCTGACAAGGGACAGCGACGGGCTCGCAGCACGGTGGACTCCCTATTGTAAAATTCTTCTTCGCGCGGGAAGTTGGTCAAAATTCTTCTTCGTGAGCCGGTGTGTGTGCCAGTCCGCGCCAGTCCGCGCCCTTGTCGTGCCAGTGTGCTGTGAGACGCAGAAGAATTCTTCTTCGTCGTGCCCCGAGTTCGGCGAGGATCAATGGGCAGCTCTGCCAGCAGAGAGGAGGCGCCTCCTGAGGCAGCGGCTGGCGGTTTCAGCGTCCGCATGACACCCGAGCTGCTGCAGCGCGCCAGCGAGTCCTCCGCAAACACGGAGGCCCCAGTGACGACAACGCGCGGTGAGAGCGATGAGACACGCCACGCGCACGATTGCAGGCTGGCTGTGAGGCTTGTAATTTTACGCGCCGCCTGCACCCGTCAGGCGAGATTGAGGAGCAGCTTCAGCTGGCCTTCCAGCAGGGCGCGGAGTACGCTGTGGGTGTGATGCGGCAGCAGGCGGCAGAGGAGGGCTCCAAGGGTGCTGGGGCGCAGATCGCCGACGCGAGAGACGAGTCGGCCCGGCGGGAGGCGGAGATCAACGCCAAGGCGCGCCGCGTGTGATTGTCTCCGCGACGGCCGAACCTCACCGCTGCGCCGTCCCTCTCCGCCCAGGTCGAGGCTCTGCACGAGCGGGAGTACCGGCCGCCCTTCAACCCACGCGCGTGCACCGAGCAGCGAGCAGCCGTGCTCGAGTGCTATCAGCGCATGTCCGGCCAGCCCGCCGGAGAGGTGTGCTCCGCGCTGCGCCGCCGCCCGCCCGCCCTCGCTCCTCCGCCCAGGCCCGAGCCGGCAAGCCTCGTGCGCCCTCCGCCCGCTTCAGACTGTGTTTGCGTGCGAGGCGGCCGTCAACAAGTTTGTCGAGTGCGTGCGCCCGCACGCCGCCTCACCCTGCCGCGGTCTGAGCGCCGGTTCCCCGCGGACGCGCAGGTGCGCTGACTTTGTCCGGACGGCCAACATTGAAAAGATCGTCCCGAACAGCTTGCCCTCTGTCTCTGTCGACAAACAAGGCGAGCCCTCTCCGTAGCCGGGACGCGGGACGGCGATTGGTGCCTCGCGGGGCAGCCTGCCTTATTTGGGGGCGGCGGCAAAGGGGACAGGCAGACCTCACTCGCTCGCCCTCTATCACATAGCTAATCTTCAAGTGGAATCTGTGTGGTGTGGCCTCGGCTGGAGAGTAAATTGTGGTGCGGAACTGGTGCGAAAAACAGGGCCGCGCAGCACGCCACGTGTGACAGGGCGCAAACACAGTCACGCACGGTAACACCGAACGCACACGCGCGCATAAAAAACGCCTAAGGCACTGTGGCCCAGGCCGGAGAGCGAGAGAGCATCAGCATTCCAATGGGGTGTGTGCCGATACGGCTTTTCGCTTTATGTGGTATCTGTTCGTCTCGCCCTCGGCGGAGAGAGGAAGGGGCTGTCTCCGTGACAGGAGAGCCAAACCGTGGCCGTGTGGGTGGGACAGCGGTCGGACAACAGGATCGCGTGCGCTAGGGCTCGACAGGAGAGTAGAAGTGTCTCTCGCGGCTCTGAACTACTCCAAGTCTCATATGATCCGCTCGGCCTCCCTCAGTGCATCAAAGAGGCTACTACGCTTGCCCGTTGCTCTGACACCAGGCATATTCCTCGGAGCTGTGCCCATTGCCGAAGCTCCGCCGCCAGGCGCAATCCTCGCCGCTTCCCTGTGCTCAACGGTCTTGTCCTTCCAGGCTGCCTGAGCCTCGCTGAGAGTCTCAACGTGCTCGGGCCGCAGAAGCGGCACGCTCCCGCCATAACCGAGGATCGGCGCACCAATCGTTGTCCGATTTACCTCCCTTGCCGCTCGAGGCCATGGATCGACAGGCACACCGGGTCCACGCCCTGAAATGATGTCATCGTATTGCTGTGACGGCGTCTGAGGCTGTGCCGGCCGTCGGCCAGGTCTCCCCTCTTGGATGATACGCTGACGTGTGAGCTCCTGAGACTGAGAGTCGGGCTTGTTGAAAATGTTTGTCCAGAGCACGTTCCCTGCCATCGCGTCCAGACGCCCTGAGCACGTCCTGCGGCAAGCCGTTTCACCGAAGACGCGAAGTTCGCTGCAATGCTACAATGTTGCCAACCATGGTGTCGCGGCTGCTGCTGTATGCGGTGGCAGTGGGTCCTCGATCGCATGTGCTCGATGAGCAGTGACGCGCACTGGCCTGATGGTGCGCGAGACGAGGTATGTCCGGATTTACAGGAAAGAGAGTGCCGCTAAGGACGCATGCCAGCAGCGGTGGGCGACGGATGCCTTAGCGGTTCTCGCGTTCTCGCGCAGCGCCCCCTCGCCGCCGTCTCCTCCGCCGTTGCCGCCGCCGCCGACGCCGCCGCCACCACCGCCACCCTCGCCACCCGCCCCGTCCCCGCCGCCACCGCGTCCGCCAGCGCCACCCTCTCCGCCGCCGCCGCCCTCACCTCCCTCGCCACCGCCAAATGAAGTGCAGGCGGCTGTGCTCAGGTCGCTGCCCGAGGCAGTCCGCGCCAGGGTAGTCGCGGCGCTCGCGAGGAAGCACAAATACACCGCTCCCACGAACGAGGAGGTACGCTTTGTCGCGTCGATAGAGCTGAAGGCGGCCGAGAAAGCCGAGGTGACGAGCTACCGAACACTAGGGCTAGGGCGCCGAGATCTCTCACCCCTCGCCCTGCCCTCTCCAGCCAAGCGGAGCCTAGCCAACCTCCCGCCCGTGCCCACAGGCGATGTGGCACAACGTGTGGGCCCCGCTCATCACGGGCACCCTTCTCCTCATCGGGGCCTCGCTGGTCGCGCTGCTCGTCCTCTCGCGCCGGCCCAGCCGCGCGGGCGGAGGGGCGAAGCACGGCGGGCCCTATCTCGGTGGAGGGTCATTGCTCTCCACGCTCGTCACGAGCTCTGTTGCGGCGCTGGGGCGCTGGTCCAAGCGGGGCGAGCAGGGCACCGCATTCGCGCGAGCTGACTCGGCGGTGGAGGTGTAACCCGCACACGGCCTGGGGCCTCGTCATCACCCTCGCCTGACTCCCCGCTCGGCGCCACCGCAGGCTGCTCGGGCGAGACACGAGGAGCAGTCTCCGTCCGCGGGAGGAATGACTCCGAGCAAGGGGGCGCTGGTCAAAGCCAAGCGCAAGGCTAGCCGAGCCTCGACCCTCCGGACTGCAGAGGACTCCACCCCGCTCGAGCCCTCGGGGAACGGGGAGCGAGCCCACCACGAACTATCAGAGCTGTGAAGCGGAGGGGCGCTGGCCGTTGGCCTCGAACGCGTCCGAGGGTCGCGGAGATGACCCAGATGTCAGGCGAAAGGGCTTAAGACAAAGTGCTCTCACGACTCAACAGTGTGTGTATGTGCTATGTAAACAACCGTCAGCGGCGGCGCGTTCTGTCCCCGCTCGGCGCGGGACGGCGGCGCCGCGGTGCGCGGAGCGCGGTCGCGCGCCGGAGGAGGTGATACTGATAGACTTGACACTTGATGGAGCCGCTTACAGGGAAAAGAAACACGGGAGCCGCCCTCACCATGATGCTCCTCACCGTGGCGATACCCACTCTGGCCCTCCTTCCTCTGCCCAGCCGGGCGCCTGTGCACGCGGTGCTGCTGCGCCGAGCGGCGCGGCCTGCGATGTCGCTGGACGAGCGGCGATCGGAACTGCCGCCAAAGCCTCTGCTCGCGGCGGTCGAGCGGAGGGCTGGCGGCCGCGTCAGCGCTGCAGACATCGCTGCCGCCGCCGGCTTGGACCTGCAAGAGACGCGGCGGGCGCTGCTCGTCCTCGCGCGGCTGGTCGGGGCCGACCTGCAGGTGGCGTCGGACGGCGAGCTCTTCTTTGTCTTTGGCGAAGACGTCAAGCGGCGGCTGCGGCGCGCGTCGCTGCGCGCTCGGGCGGGCGAGGCGTGGGACACCGCTTCGGTGCCTCTCTTTTGGCTGCTCCGTGCCAGCTTCGGCGTCGCGCTGCTCTCATCGCTCACGATCGCCGTCACTGCGATCGCGGCGCTGATGGCCAGCTCGAGCAAGTCCGACTCCGACTCGGGACGCGGCGGGTCCTCGCTCACGATGCTGCCGTACAACATGTGGGGGCCGCACCCGCTCGATATCTTCTACTACTCGAGGCGCGCCCGACCCCGCGAGAGCGCCGCGCCGCGACCTGAGAGGGGCTCTCTTCCAACTCGGCCGCCCCGACTGCGCTCCCGGCTGCCGCAGGTACCGCCCGACGCCCGAGGGAGAGCTCGGCTTCCTGCAGTCGTGCTTCTCGCTCCTCTTCGGAGACGGAGACCCGAACGCCGACTTCCGCCGCCGCTCCCTCGCCGCCGCCGCCGCGCTCATCCGCGCCGAGGGCGGCGCAGTGACGGAGCCGAGCAGCCCGCGCCGCCACCTGCGCGTCACGGAGGCGGCGCTCACAGCATGCGGCGTGTGCTCAGGCGGAGCAACTCGCGCCGCTGCTCGCGCCGGCCGAGCTCCCGCCCGACGAGAGCGAGGTCGGCGGCGGCCGGGGTGACGCGCGTGTGCGCGCTCCGCAAAGCCTTCTTCAAGCCCCCGCGCGCGCGAGCACCGTAGGCCGACGGCGCCGACGCGACGCTCGTGCGCGAGCCATGGGTGACGGACGCGCTGGTGGCGCTCGGGGGCGAGCCGACCGTCACCGAGGAGGGAGACATCGTCTACGTCTTCTCCGAGCTGATGGCGTCCGCCGGCGAGGAGGCGCCGCCCCGCACGCTGCCCGCAGCGGGCGGGGCGATGGTGAGGAGCGGCGCCGCCTCCGCCTCCTCCGCCGCGGTGTACGACGCGCTCCGGTGGAGCGATCAGCCGCAGGCGTGGCGGCCGGCGGCAGGCGAGCCCGTCCTCGTGTCCGCGCTCGACATCGATGCGCGGCGGCGGCTCGGCCGGAGCTACCTCTTCTCTGCCGAGGCTCGGCGGCAGAGCTTCGAAGACTCGCTCGTGCTGCCTCGATCGCTGGTCGGGAGCTCGGGCGTCGTGGCGGGCGAGACGAGCGCGCTGCTCGCCCCTCCCCTCCCGCGAGGCGCCTCCTCGGACCCGGGCTCGGAGCCCTCCCTAGGCGACGAGCGCGACTCGCTCCCCTTTCGGGTGCGGGTTGATACGGCCTCCGGGCCAGTCGAGGCGTACTTTCTGCGCTCCGAGCTGCGGCCCGTGCCGGCCGAGCTGGTCGGCGGCTCCGTCGCGGCGCTGGTCGAGCTGCCGCAGCGCTTCTCCACCGCGCCGCCCGGCCAGCTCGTCGCGGCGGGCGCGCTCGGCGCCGCGAACCTCGTCGCCGTCGGCTACCTCGGCCTCCTGCTCCGCTCCGCGCGCGCCTCGGCGCTGCCCGCGGCTGGCGCCCTCGGCGCGCTCTACCCGCCGCTGCTCGCCTACGCGCTCGGCTTCGTCGGCGTGCCGCTCGTGCGCTCTGCCGTGGTGCGGCGGCGCAACCGCAGGACGGAGCAGCGCAACGCCGCCCGCCGTGCGTGGGCCGCCGCGCTCGCGTCGAGGCCGGCGGGCGCGCTGCGGCGCAAGCTCGCGTCCGCCAAGCGGCTGCGGCCGCGCTTGCGGCGCGCGGCGGACGCGCCCGTCGAGTATAGCAGCGCCGAGGGCTTCGGCGAGGAGGCGGAGGCTGCCCAGAGGGACGTGATCGCCGCGGACTTTGATGCGCGCCTCGCGGCGGCGGCAGAGGCGGCGCCGGATGAGTCGCCGGGTGGGCCTTGACGCACGCGCGTGAGCGTGGACGCGGCGGGCTAGCGTAGTATACCTCGACGCGGCCAGGGGGGCGCCACAGGGTGGCAGGAGGCTACAGGCAGGTGAGGAGAGACGCGGGGACATAGCCGACGCGGACAGGGATCAGGGTCAGGCTACTTACATGCTCGTTGCTCGAGCTTACATGTAGAGAGAGAGCAAACATGTAAGATGTATATATAAAGCGAACGTGTGCTGGAACTCGGGCACACACACACAGGCAACCGCGAGCCGCTCACTCCCCCAGTCCCATTCCAGCATCTTCCCCGCCTCCTCCACCGGGCGGATCCGCTCCCGCGCCGCCTCCCCCACCACCTCGCGGTCGCGATCGCTCATGAAAAGAAGAAAAACCTTCGGTAAACGGTGGGAGATCCTCCCTACCTCCCACTATAGATCGAACCCACAAGTGAGCTATGGACCGCCACAAGTGTTGCCACAAGGCTTCTTACAACCTGCCTCCTTGGTTAGGTTGGTAGAAAGGTGAAGAAGAGTTGCTCCGCACACACAAAAGAAAACTCGCGCGCCAGTGGCCGTTGTTGTGCGCTCAGGGGCGATGGACTTCCGGCGGGAGGACTGGGAGCCCGCCAACGACGGCATCGACTCCGAGGAAGAGGCTGCTCTCGATGAGCTGCTTGACGGCCCGCCGTCCAAGAAGCAGCGCCCACCTGCCGCAGCAGCAGCGCGCCCGCAGCCAGCTCCGCGCCCGTGGCAAGCGCCCGTCTACTCTCGCACCACCGCCGACGTGGACCTCTCGGAGGAGGCCGAGCTGCGCCGGCTTGAGGGCGGCGGAGCCCTGCCCGGTGGCGCCCTGCCCGGTGGCGATCAAATCATCGATCTCACCGACGATGCGTCCTTGGTGCCCGAGCCCGAGCCGCCAGCCGAGCCGGCGATCGATTGCCCGTGCGGCGCCGGCCCGGCCAAGGTGCTCACGTCGTACAGTGAGAGGAACCCGAACCGCCGTTTCTATCGCTGCCCCAAGCCTCGCGGCGAGGACTGCAGCTTCTTCCAGTGGGTCGACTCGCAACCGCCGCCGCCGAACCGCGGCGGCGGGTTCGGCGGCGGCGGTGGCACGCCCGGGAGCGGCAGCGGCGGCGGCGGGTACGGTGGCAGTGGCGGCGCGGGGAGCTACGGTGGTGGTGGCGGCGGCGGCGGCGGCTCTTCCACCGACCTCTGCTACAAGTGCAACCAGACCGGCCACTGGGCTCGCAACTGCCCCAACGCCGCCGGCGGAGGTGGCAGAGGTGGCGGGTACAACAGCGGCGGCTTTGGCGGCGGCGGCGGCTACGACAGCGGCGGCGGCAGCCACAGCGGCGGCGGCGGCTACACCGGTGGCGGCTACAGCGGCGGCGGCGGCGGCTACAGCGGCGGCGGCGCCCAGAACAACAAGTACGGCGGTGTTGGCGGCGGCGGCTCTTCCACCGACCTCTGCTACAAGTGCAACCAGAGCGGCCACTGGGCTCGCAACTGCCCCAACGCCGCCGGTGGAGGTGGCGGAGGTGGCGGGTACAACAGCGGCGGCTTTGGCGGTGGCGGCGGCAAGAAGGGCGGCTGCTTCAAGTGTGGCCTGGACGGGCACTGGGCATCGAACTGTCCGAATGTGGGCGGAGGCGGAGGCGGAGGCTACGGCGGCCGCTACGGCGGCGGCAGCAGCGGCGGCTACCGTCGCTGATCCCACCGCCGCTGGCTCGACCGCTGCGTTGGCGGAATGAAATCACTGCCGCGTGCGCAGAAGGAGAGAGGGCGTCTCTTACGCAGGTTGGCAGGAGACGTGGGTCACGCCCAGCGCGAGACAAATCACATCGAGCAATTGCATACAAAAAATCACTAATCAGAGCGAGGCCGAGAATATTTTCTCAAAGGTGGCTGCCAGCTGCCCGGTGTCGGTGCAGACGTGGCCTCGTCCCGGCGCGAGCTGCGCGTGGATCTGCTCGGCCTCCATCTCGTTGGAGGCGATCAGGATTGCGTACGCGCCAACCGCCTCCTCCGCGGTGAGCGCCGCACTCCACTCGCGCGGGTCGAGCCGGTAGCGGGCGAGGTCGGCGTCCGAGATGACAAAGACGAACCGTTCGTCAGCGTCGCGCCCGGCGGTCGCCGCCACCGCCCGCCGCGTCGCCTCGAAGGTCTGGTCGCCACTGTGGCAGTACTGCGTGTGCGCCTCCATCTTCTTGAGCAGCGCGAGCCGCGCCGCCTCGCCCTGCGGGTACTCGCCCCACCGGACCAGCTGCTCCGCCTCGGGTCCAGTGCCCGAGTGGCCGACCATCGACCACTCGTACGTCGCCTCGAGGCCCTCGAGCGCGAGCATCGCGAAGAGCGCCGTCTCGAGCAGGCGCGTCTTCCGCCCGTCGAGCCGCTCAAAGGTGTACATCGAGCCGCTCAGGTCGAGCACGAACCGCAGCGCCACCCGCTTGCCCGCGCCGCCCGCGCTCCCCGCCGGCCTCGGGCCGCGGTGCTTGTAGATGGCGGCCGAGCCGGCAAGCCCGTCCACCATCCTCGCCTCGTCGAGCTCGCCGTGCGGGCGGCCCTTGAGCCAGATCCGCTCCTTGGACCGCTCGCGGTGCTCGTGCAGCGCGCGCCGCATCCTCGCCACCTGAGGCTCGACGCCGGCACGGTACGCGTCGTACAGCTCGGCGTCGTGCGGCGCCATCCCAATCTCCCTGAGCCGCTCCGCGTACGCCTCGTCCGCCATGCGCTTCGCCGCCTCGGCCGCCTCGTCGCTGATCCCCGCCGCCTTCTCCTCCTCGCTCAGCAGGTGCACCTGCTGCCCAACGTCGAGGCGGTACGGCCCGGCGCGGCCGCCCAACCCCGCGGTGCCCGTCCCGCCCGTCCCGCCCGCGTACTTGTTCCCGCCCACGTGCGGCTTGCCGTCCCACTCGCCGTGCTTTGGCCCGCCCTCGGGCATCGGCGGCGGCGGCTTCTCCGCGCGGCCGCCAAACTCGTCCGACTCGCCCTCGAGGCGCAGCTCCATCGGCGGCGCCTTCTTCTTGCTCCGCCGCAGCTCGAGCGCGAGGCTCTGCAGACCATGCTCCGCGAGCACGCCGGCGAGCAGCGACGCCGCGGAGCGGTCGTCCGCGTCGGCGTCAAACACCCCGGCGAGCGCGCCGTGCAGCCCGTCCTGCGGGCACGCGTCGAGGTGGCGCGCCACGAGGACGAGCTCGCGCACCGAGTACGGGTACGAGAGCGCGCCCTGCTCGTGCAGTAGCCGCAGCCGCGCGAAGAGGGAAAGCAGCGTCGCGAGCTGCTCGCGCGGCAGCCCGGGCGCCACCCGCCGGAGCAGCTGCGCCTGCGACGCCGCGTCCGGGTTCGGCACCACCAGCGAGCTGAAGGCGTCGCCGCACTCGCGGTAAAAATCGTTCCCCTGGAAGGGCCAGCCCGGCGGGTTTGCCAGCACCACCATACGGAAGGCGGGCGACACCACGAGCTCCTGCTCCTCCTCGCCACCGCCCTCGCCGCCGCCCTCGCCGCCGCCCTCGCCGCCACCCGCCCTCGCGGCGCGGCGCACCAGCCGCCTTCCGTCGGCCAGCTGCAGGTCGCCGTCCTCGGCGAGCGCCTTGAGCACGCAAACCACCTCGAGCGGCGCCTTGTCCGCCTCGTCGACGACGAGCACGCGCCCGCGCCGCGCCGCGCGCACGAGCGGCGAGTCGCGGAAGGCGAGAACGCCGCCCTCGAGGCTCGGCGCGAGCGTGAGAGAAGCGACGGTCGTGTCTCGGTGCAGTTGGACGTATTCCCGCTCTGCGCCGAGTAGCTGCAGCAGCCGGTCGGCGAGCTTGTTCTTGCCGACACCCTGGTCCCCGAGCAGCAGCAGATGGCCGCCGCCCTCCCACTCGAGCAGCATCTCCTCGAGCAGCGCCACGTGGCCCGCGATGGCGACAAAGGAGGGGCGAGGCACCAGCGACGGCTCCTCCGGCGCCGGGTACTGCGCCACGCTTACGCTGCCGATGCTCACGCGCCCGCCCCGCACGACGATCGCGGGTCCGTCGTCGGCGGGTCCGTCTCCGCGGCCGTCACCGACCGCCAGCGCCGCTGCGCGCTCGCACACCTGGCGCACCCTCGCGTCGGCAGTCTCCTTGCGCTGCGCCGCCAGCCGCTTGGCGCCGTCCTCTATCTTTGCGTCCAGCGCCGCGCCCATCCCCCCAAAGTTGCCCATCATTCTCCTCTGGATCGAGAGCCCCTCGAGCTCCTTGACTTCGCGCGCCTGCGCCTCGCGCCGCGACCTCTCCGCCGCCGCGACCCGCGCGCCTCCCGCGCCCGCCTCGCCGCCGCGCGGCCTCGCCTCCCCGTCCAGCCCAGAGGTCGAAGGCACGTCGGCAGCCCTCACACCCGCCTCGGCCGCCGCACGTGCAAGCAGCGCCGCCGCCGTCTCGCGCGCCGCGGGCGGTGCCGTGAGCAGCCCCGCCGCGGTGCTCCGCCGGAGGGCGCCCGCCGCGTCGTCGGGCCGTCGGCGAAGGTACTGCGCGGCGCGCAACAGCTGCCGCTGCGAGAGCAGAGCCCCTCGAAGCGACGGCTCGGCCGACGAAGCGGAGAGCACTGCGGCGCGGTAGCGGAGGAGAGCGCGCAGCGGCGGCAGCGCCTTGGGCGGGCAGGTGTGCATCTGCAGCATCTGCAGCAGCTCCGCCTCCTCGGGCGGCGACAAGCTCACCCAAGCAAAGAGCGGAAGCAACTCGTCGCTCAGCCAGCCGGCGGCGGCGGCGGCGGCCTCGCCCTCGCCCTCGCCGGCGGGCGGCTCTGCGGTCGCGACGATGCGGAAGGCGGGGTGGACGCGCTGGACGCCCTTCGCTGCGAGCTCGCCCTCCGTGAGGCCCGCCGCGAGGAGCGCCTCCCACTGCGCTGCCGAGACGAGCCGCGAGCCGTCCGGCAGCGAGAGGAGGCTCCGCTCGACGCAAAGCGGTCCGACCTGGGAAGACGAACGCAAGCGGCCGAGGGAGTATGAGCATATCGGCGCCGAGGGAGTATGGGCACAAGCGGCCGAGGGAAAGAGAATATGGTATCGTGCGGGGTCATCCGCGCCAGCACGGGGGCTGCGAATGCAGCAACTGGGGCTACAGCACCTGGGGCGTGCGATGGCGGACATGTGTGTTCCGCATGCTAAGCGTGCGAACGGCTCCGGCGAACGTGCCGCGCGGGAGGCGGTGGATGCCGTCGAGGAGGGCGACGCCCCCCCGCCGCGCAGCGAGCAGCAGCGGCGAGTCACGCCACTCTGTCGCCCCGTCGGGCGTGGTTGCGCGCCGCTGCAGCAGCTCGTGTGCGGGCAAGTCGGCGTGGCAAAAGACAGAATACGCCTCCCCGTACCCAAACAGCTGCGCGAAGCGGCGGGCGAGGGACGTCTTGCCGACGCCCTTCGGCGCGAGCAAGCAGACGTCGTGCCCGAGCGCATGCCTGTGGGGCATGTCCAGGAGGTGTCATCGACATGTCGTGGACGTGTCCGCCGCGTCGCCCAAGCGCGCGCGCTCGGCGCAGATGCTGTCCAGCGCGGCCGCCTGCGACGCAACCAGCGGCGGGCCCGCGCCGTGCCACGCGCAGTCGCCCTCCTGCTGTGGTACGCCGCCGCCGCCGCCGCCGCCGCCTCCGCCTCCACCTCCACCTCCGCCTCCGCCTCCGCGCGTCGCCTCGATCGCGAGCTGGCGCAACTCCGCTTTCTCGAGCACGTGCGCGTGCGCCACGCCTCGCGCGGCGAGCAGCGCCTTGAGCTGCCCGCCGCTCATCGCCACGATCTCGTCGGGAGACGTGCCGCCGCCGCCTCCGCTGCCGCCTCCACCGCCGCCTCCTCCGCCTGCGTTTTGCGAGGCGGACAAGGCCGGGCTCCAGAGGGGCTTGCAGCCGCAAGCCGCCTCGAGCCGCACGCTCGCGCCCTCCGCGAGGACGGCAAAGACGCACTCGCACCGGCTCGCCCCCTCCCCGCGCCGCTCGATGCGCGAGAGGGCGTAGCGCAGCGGCGTGCACGGCGGCGGCAGCAAGCTCTCGACCTACTTTTTCGCGTTGGGCTTGGGTGAGGGGCTTGCAAAGGGCGAGGCGGGCGGCAGCGGGCGCTTAAGGTCCTCGCGCCGCACGCCCTTCAGCGTGTCGGGAGGAAGGTGCAACGCGGCGAGGGGTAGGCGCCGCTCCACCGCGGCGGCGGCGTCCGCCCCGTCGAACGCCTCGAGCAAGGCGGCGGCGCGCTCTGCGCCGCCCTCGGGGAAGTATGCCAGCCGCCTGCCGCCTGCCGCCTCGTAGGGCGCGCCGCTCGCCGCCGCCGAGCGCAGGCGCAACGCGTCGGCGGCGGCGCAGACCTGCCTCGCGCGTGCGGGGCTGAGCCGCGGCGCGGCCGCGACGACGCGGCTGAGCAGCTCCGAGCCCGCCACGAACCGCACCCGTCGCGTCGCGAACCGGGAGCGCAGAGGCGGGTCGAGCGGAGTTCCGGCGTAGGTCGGCTGAGGTAAACCGATGCCGATGACGACGAAGCCGCGCTTGGCGAAGCGCAGGCCGCGTCCCCGCGCGCCACCCTCCTCCTCCTCGCTGGACATCGCTGGCGCCGCGAGGAAGCCGCCGTCGTCGAGCGCCATCTCCCGGTTCTCGAGTAGGTTGTTGAGCAGAGGCAGCACGTTGCGCTCCGCCTTCTCGATGCCCTCGAGGAGGAGGACGCGGCCGTGGCAGGCGGCGCGCAGCGGCGGCGCGTCCGCGTACAGCATCGAGCCGCCGCGCAGCTCGCGCCGCTGCTTCAAGTCCGCCTCGCAGGTGTCGCGGGTGACGCCGACGTACTCTACCTCCCGCCGCAGAGTGGCGCACACCCAGAGAGCGAGCGAGCGCAGCCCGCCACCCGGCTCGCCCAGCAGCAGCATGTCCTGACCGAGCTTGAGCTGCACCATCATCCACCGCATCGTCGCGAGCGCCTCTTGCGACGAGCCAAGGCTGCTGCGGAGGCCCGGCGGCAGCCACGGCACAAGCTCGGGCGCACAGGGAGAACCAACTTCAACAGTGACTCCGCCGATGCTGTAGGAGTGGACCTCGCCACTAGGCTCCACAGGGGGTGAGGCATGGCGGGGCGGCGGGACGTCTTCGCCGCCAGACTCAAAGTAGGCGCGCAACTCCGACTCTGTCCAGCCGGCGCAGCCGCTCTCGGGCAGCGGCACGTCCTCAGCAAAGCACTCTGACTGAATGGAGAGAATGGAGGCCGCGTCCAGGGTCGGTGTCATGTGGACCAAGACATATCTGTGTCGCAAGTAAAGATACAGCAGTGGTACTGTCCCGTTTTGCTGTTCACAGCTAGGGACGGCCTCTGCGGCAAAGTCAAATCACCCCCACCGCCTCCCACCTCCCACCTCCCTCCCACAGGCAAACCTTCGGCTCCCGCTCAGAGGCTCGCCGCGCCCGTGCGGCGCGCCGAGGCGGCGCCGAGGCCGGCGCCTTGCACCCGGCCCGCGGCCGGCACCGCCTCGCCCCACAACTGACCGCCCTGCGGCCCCTGCGCAGGCGTACCACAGGCGTCGCTCAAAGAGCGACGCCGGGTGTGGGCTGCTCCCTTGACCCGTCACCCGCCGCGCCCTCGCCCGGCCGCCTCACCGCTCACGGAGCGCTCGGCTACTCGCCGCCGCCGCCACGCGTCCCGCGCCGCCACGCATGCCCCTTGCCCTGACGCGCGCGCTCTGCAGCGGCAGAGCGCGCGTCCCTGGCACAGACGGAGCAGCGGCCGCGCCAGCGGTCGCTGCTCCGCCCCCCCCGTCGCGCGCGCCGCGCGCGCGCCGCCGCCGCCGCCGCCGCCGCCGCCCCCTCCTCGCCGTCTTCCCCACCCTACCCTCTGTTGCGCGCGCGCGCCCCGCGCTGCGCGCCCCCGCCCCCACCCCCGCCCCCGCCCCCGCCCCCGCTCCCACGCGCCCCTTCCCCGGTAGGTGTGCGTAGAAAGTGGAACCAATCGAGAGGTGGCAGAAGCCGCCGTGTGTGACACATATTGCGGCACGTGAGTGTGAGACAGAGCCCCGGCAGCTTGGGCCAGGTACCAATTTTGTCGAATTTATTTCAAAATCTGCAGGCGCGGAGCGCCTGCGAAAATTTTGAAGAAATTTGCAGTCGGGCCTGATTTTCATCAAGATCTTTCAAATTTGCGGTGTGGAGTTGGGGGGTGGGTTAGGTTAGGGTTATTAGGGTTAGAGGGTTAGGGTTAGGGTTAGGGTTAGGGTTAGGGTCAGGGTTAGTCTGGTTGTGTCTGTATATGCCAGCGTTGCAGGGTTCTGCGCTGGGATCTGGCCCCAGCGCCGACGAGTAAGACTCAGCACCGCACGCTGACCCCACCAAATGCCGCCTCAGGGCGCCAGGCCGCCAGCCACTTCTTACACGCGGCCGGCGCCCTCTCGCGGCAAAAGGGTCGAGCGAGCGGGCAGAGTCGCGATGTCTGCGCACCCGCGTGCCGATGGGCGGCACACGCAACCGAGAGAGGCCCTGTCGCGCCGCCAGTAGCGTTCTCCGCACTCCCCACGCCACCAATTGCCGCCTCAGGGCGCCAGCCACCTCTTACACGCGGCCGGCGCCCTCTCGCGGCAAAAGAGTCGAGCGAGCGGGCAGAGTCGCGCGATGTCTGCGCACCCGCGTGCCGATGGGCGGCACACGCAACCGAGAGAGGCCCTGTCACGCCGCCAGTAGCGTTCCGCACTCCCCACGCCACCAATTGCCGCCTCAGGGCGCCAGCCACCTCCTTACACGCGGCCGGCGCCCTCTCGCGGCAAAAGGGTCGAGCGAGCGGGCAGAGTCGCGCGATGTCCCTGCGCACTACCTGGGTGTTCGCCGCCTATATGCTCTATCCTGTGCCAAGACGGACACATTTTGACAATCAAAATCTACCTCAAAATTTGCGGCCGCCCCTCGAAATTTGCTGATCAAAATTTGCGGTGGCCCAGGAGCGGATCCGTCGTTAGTCGTGTTCACGCCGGGATCGTGATCCCGACAACCTGGGCAGACTTTAGGCTACGACAGTATATGTGACAAAAACTCTCTCTCTCCCCTATATGTGTAGGGACCCTAAAGTCATCAGAGAGCAGGGAATACAGTCTGTTGCGGGCATTAAGAAAACAATCCCGCGGCACGCCGCCGTTTCTAAGCCTTTCCACCCACCCCACCCACCCCACGCCGTGGTTTCTTAGCTTCGGCCGGCACCCCAGGTCAGCCGGGATCTAGGAATTTTTAGGTAAAATGACAATAAGGAAGCGCTGGACCGATGCGCCAGTCAGCAGTCTTGGGATGACAGGAAGACGCACACACCTCCATCCACACCGCCCAGAACACCGCAGACTTGGGCAAAATGACAAGTGCGCGCGCCGCAGGCGAAGAGAAAAATTGAGCGGGGCTCCTGTTCACACTCGTGTGTGGGCCCTTTCTTGGGGCCGCGCCTGCGGCGCGCCGTGGTTTCTTAGATTTTCGCGGAAATTGCTTGGTAGGGTTTATTAATGGGACGCTTTCTTAATGCCCGCAACAGACTGTAGGACCGCCGCAAGCGGCATGGCGTGGAGCGGTTGAGCGTCCCTCCGGGGGCCCCTGCTCTGCTGACTCTCATCTAGCACCCTCTTGGGGCCTCTCCTGACCGCTGTGGGCCTCTCTCCAGACCTCCTCTTGCCTATGGGAGTACCCCTTAGGCTGAATATACTTTTCCTCTCGCACCCCGTCTCTTTTCCTTTCCTTTTTTCTCTACAGCACCCTCTCTTTTCCTCTCTCTTTTCCCGGGGAAACCATCAAATTTTCCGGGCTCTGAGCCGAGACCCGAGTCTGAGGCTCGTTTGGGGCCGGCCCAAAATCAGCCAAATCGGCGAAATACCGGGTATTTTTTGCGGGTATACCTAGGAAACCCCCGGTATACCTGAAAATACCCTGGTCCCTGCGACCGCCTGGGTATCGTGCCGATTTCCTCAATTTTGCCACAGATTTTGCACAAACCAGCTGGGTATCGTGCCGATTTCCTCAATTTTGCCTCAGATTTTGCCCCAAACCAGCTCTCAGACTCAGGGAAACTCGCGAGTTTCCAGAATGGAGCACCAAACACCCTCTGTTTTCCCTGGAAATTTCCGGAAACGCAAAGTGCTGGGGACCCTCTGTTTTCCTTTTTGTTTGCCGGAAAAGTATATGCAGGCCAAAGTACCTAAGTACCCCTCCCAGTCTACTTCCTAGGATGACACAGGCACAGGTTTGCATAATCCGAGCTTTTTCTCAAGGGCTATACTCGAGTAGTGCAGAGAAGAAAGAAAACAATCACAGCAGACAGGCTCGACACAGGTGCGAACTGGCGCGTGCTAGTACTATCACAGGCACACCCAGAGAAGAAATGCGCGTATGTACCCTCCGCGGAGTAGGCCTCCACATACATACCGGGTACGTGTGTATATGCTCGCTGCTGCCGACAAACTCGCTTTAGGAGGCACCTTTAGCGCCCGCTGGCGTCCCGATCTCGGCGTGGCTGCCGCCGACGCCGCCCTCTCCGCTGCCGACGCCGACCTGCCTAAGCACTGCTCGTTTGCGGTGGTGGGCGCCGGCTGGTCCGGCGCGTATGCCGCCTGGCGACTCGCCGTCGACACCTCGTCTGTAAACGCCTCGTCTGTGTGTGTCTTCGAGGCAAACGGCCGCGTCGGAGGGCGCATCTTCTCGGTCCACGGCCTCCCCTCCTTTGCAGACCTCGCTGTGGATGTCGGCGGCTACCGCTTCCAGACGAGGCAGCGACTGCCCGCGGACCTCGTTTTTTTCGCTCTCAAGCTGCCGACGCAGTGCTATGACTGGGAGTGCGCCGCAAAGTGCGAGGGCACGACTTGCTACGTCGTCAAGGACGCGTTCGGCAACAACGCCGGCTACGCCACCGCCATCGAGACGATGCTCGGCCAGGTCGAGGCGGCGGGCGGACCGGGGCGGCAGGTCCACCTCGCGGCGAGGCTGACCTCCATCGAGGCGGCGCCGGCTGCAGGCAGGGCGGCGAGCCGGCTCATCTTTGCGGGCGGGCGCAGCGTCACAGCGAGCAAGGTCCTGCTCAACCTGCCCTCCAACGCCATCGAGTACCTCTCACGCGACTCGACGCTGCTGGGAAGCTCCTCGGCCGCCGTGCGGCGCTTGCTCGGCGCCGTGACGACCATCCCGATGGTCAAGGTCTACGCGTGGTACGACGACGCGTGGTGGAGCACCAAGCTGGGGCTGATGGAGGGCGCCTTCACCGCCGCCACCGACGGCGCTCCGCTCGAGGGGCGCTACCACGACGGCCCGCAGCGCTGCGTAGTCGGGCGCGACACGGCGGGCGACCCCGTCTACTCGGGCAAGAAGATAGCGTACGGCAACTGCAGCGGGGCGCTCGAGGTGTACTATGGGATCGCCCGGCCGTACTATGCCAAGCTGATGCCGAGCCCTCTTCAGCCGCTGACCGTCGCGACGCGCGGTACGAGCAGCCTCGCCGCCGCGCAGCTGATCGGGGACGTGCACGCCGCACTGATGGCTCGACACGCAAAGGCGCTCGCATCCGCGGGCGTCGCCCCCGGCGCCGTCTCCCCGCCGCAGACGGTGGTGCTGGCCAACTGGATCTCGGCAGGGCGCTACACGCCGGGCATCGGCCGCTTGCTGGGCGGCGATCTCGACCGCGCGCTGCTTCGCAAGCCGCTGCCAGATTACGACCTCTTCCTCGCGAACCAGGACTTTGGGTACGAGACGGGGTGGGCGGCGGGCAGCCTGGCGATGGCCGAGAAGGTGCTGCAGGCTGAGCTGGGGCTGCCTGCGCCGCGTTGGCTCGACGCGGAGTGGTACGAGAAGAGAGTCGTGGCCGAGCCCTGAGAGAGGCGGGCGGTCCTGGATGTGTCGAGGTGTAGTGCATGTACATTTGTTGTACTTTGTTGCCGAGACTTGAGCCCTGCGGGCTCTGCCAGTACGTGCAGGGCCAGGGGGCGCGGCAGGCTCTCTGCCCCACGCAGAGGCGCCTTTGTTAGTGCGCAGCCCACAAGACTCAAGAGAGAAGAGTCTAAATCCACACAACACGACGGTCGACGCACGACTCTCGACTGTCGACTGCAAGCGCACGTTTGTGCTTTGTCGCGTTTGAGGTTTGTGTGCGATTACCGATTTATTCTCTCTCCCCGGCTGTGTGAAGAGCTTTGCGGTCGGCGCCGGCGTCCTCCGCTGCCAGCGAATGCGGTCTCTTGACTCTTTGTGGATTGAGAGACATGAGCGCTCTCAGGCGTACGCGGCACAGCGCGCATGCACACGCGCGCACAACTTCATGCTGACATGCACATCGGGTGTGCACATGTGCATGCGCATGTTGTGCATGTGCAACCCCAATCACCACCATAACGCTATCCTGTGCAGTCATCCACCTCAACCATTACCCCACCCAATCTCGGGAAGTCTTCTATGAGTCCAAGATGAAGCGGGGCGATGCTATGCGCGCAAAGAAAGATGAGCATGTGCGCAACTGGGGCTATTTCCACCGCTATTCGAACACGTTTTCGGGTATCCTTGACGACGAGCTGGCGCGCAAACGCCTCGGGCATGCACAGAGCGACCAGGGTCCAGGCGGCTGTTGACAGGTTGGTGTGTGGCATCACCCATCCGGGTGGCTCTCAGCCAGAGTGGTGCACAGATACTAAGGTCTTGCATTGATAGATGGAGTGGGAGCTCAGTCAGCATGAGAGAATGAATCAAATATAAATCGAACAACTCATGCGTTTGCAGCTGGGCACCATGAAGATTACATGCATGGGAGCACTTGAGGCAAACCCCACTTTGGGATATTGAGGCGGTGTGACGGCACTCACTCACAGGGCACGGGAAGCTCTCCCGCCGTGTCTGCGTGGCCCGCCCGACCCGCGGGGAACGGCGCGCGCCCCTCCCGGCGGAGCTGGGTGCGGCAGACGGGCCCACGGGTCGGTTCCGGGCCGATTTGGGGCCGTTCTGTCTAGTACTAGTTTTGGGTCAAAGACAAGTAAAAATCTCGCCCCACGGATGACACTTTTTGATTTTTCGAGCCACGATCGTCGCCCGGGCCCGTGAGGCCATGGGAACGCCCTCGGATTGTACAGCACCCTCCACTAGCCACAACCGTGGGCCCTCAACCGCGTATCGGTGTCGCCGCAAAATAGCCTTCAGACGCTGTCTCGTCGTTATAAATCGGCCAATCTGGCCCCTCTGCCACAAGTTTTGCTTTGGGACGCACCGTAGCACGGTGGAGTCGAGATCCGGCGCGCAACCATAAAAAGTATCATCAATCGGGCCCGGCTAAACCTGCCACCGGAGGCGCGCAAAATGGAGGCGATTTTGTGGTGGTAAAGCGCAAGATGGCCAGAACGGGGCGCCGCGCGCTCGGGAGCGCTCGCCGCTCGCAGGCCAACTCCTCCCCAGCACGGTGCGTGCGTGTGCTCAGGTTGAACTCGATGCCGCGACTTCACAGCCTCCGCCGTGAAGCTTCCAGCACGTCGAGGGCGGACGCTTTTCGGCGCCATGGTTTTGGCGCAGCGCTTCGCCGGCTGTCATCCCAGTCCATGGTCGCTCCACAACGATTCCCAGGCGTGCCCGCACGCTCCTCAGGGGAGTGGGCACGCCTCTTGCTATCCTGAAGCGCGCGTCAAGCCCGCTCGACCGTGAGCTTGCTCAGCGAACAGTTTTTCAACAGACGTTGAGCGACGGGCGTGAATCTCCCACACACTCGCCAACTCCTGACTGAGCAGGCCGTACCCACGTGATAGCCCCACTGATCCATCCCATGCGATCAGGCGCCGCTCGGACCCCATGTTCGAGCAGGATTCCTCGCGGCAACACAACTCGGCGCTCTCGATGTGCGCGCTCTAGGCAGTCAGTCTCAACGCCGATTACTGCCGAGCGCGCACGACTCGTAGGCGTACCGGCGTGCCGCTGGCGGCCAGCAGTATACGACGACGACGACATCTCACACCCCGCGCTGGCCAGCGCCATCAGCCCCTCACGGCCCGGCCCAACCTCCCTTCGCCTCGCCTCCAGTGAGTGCCTCCAATCAAGTCGCACCTCTCTTCTTCAGCGAATGCAGCGGCAGCACCACGTCAGAGGCCGGGCCGACTGCTCTGGCGGACCTGCATGCCCAGCCATGCCCCCCACTCCCCACCCGCTTGGATCAAACAGCTGACAGCTCCACCAGCTCCACCACCGCCGCGTGTCGTGTCATGAAGCATGAATAGACACAAGCATGAGCGGCGCCATCCTCCCAGCCCGCCTCGCCGACCTGGCTCGGGGCGACCTGGCCTCGCTGCGCGCCTTCCTCGCCGGGCGGCGGACGCGCGGCACGTCGCTCGCGGCCCAGCTCGACGCGCGGCACGACACCGAGAGGCAGGACACGCTGCTCACCTGGGCCGCTCGTCACGGGCAGGCCGAGGCGGTGCGGCTGCTGCTCGACAGCGGCGCGAGCGTGGGGGCGACGAATGATGACGGCGCTTCCGCGCTGTATACCGCGTGCCAGGAGGGGCAGATTGAGTGCGCCCGGCTGCTCGTCGAGGCTGGCGCAGCGACCGACCAAGCAGACGCCAGAGGCGTCACGCCGCTGTTCGTCGCGTTCCTGAAGGGCCATGACCAGTGCGTCCGGCTGCTTCTCGAGGCGAGCGCGGCGGTCAACCAAGCCAAGGACGGCAGCGCCACGCCGCTGATCATCGCGTGCTACAAGGGCCACCTCGAGGTCGCCCGGCTGCTGTGCGACGCTGGCGCGGCGGTCAACCAAGCCCCGCAGAACGGCGCCACGCCGCTGTACATCGCGTGCCAGAAGGGCCACCTCGAGATCGTCCGGCTGCTCCTCGAAGCCAGCGCGGCGGCCGACCAAGCCACGCAGAATGGCGTCACGCCGCTGTTCATCGCGTGCCAGCAGGGCCAGCTCGAGTGCGTGCAGCTGCTCCTCGAGGCTGGCGCGGCGGTGAGCCAAGCCAAGGACAACGGCGTCACGCCGCTGTACGTCGCGTGCCAGAACGGCCGCCTCGAATGCGCCCGGCTGCTCCTCGAGGCTGGCGCGGCGATCAACAGAGCCAAGGAGAACGGCGCCACGCCGCTGTTCATGGCGTGCCAGAACGGCCACCTCGAGTGCGCCCGGCTGCTGCGCGGCGCTGGCGCTGACATCAACCAAGCGCTGAACGACGGTACCACGCCGCTGTTCATTGCGAGCGAGAAGGGTTACCCCGAGATCGCCCGGCTGCTCCTCGAGGCTGGCGCAGCGATCGACCAAGCCCGCAACAACGGCGCCACGCCGCTGTTCATGGCGTGCCGTGAGGGCCAGCTCGAGTGCGTTCGGCTGCTCCTCGAGGCTGGCGCGGCGATCGACCAGGCCGAGGAGCAAGGCGCCACGCCGCTGTTCGCTGCGTGCCACCAGGGCCACCTCGAGGTCGCCAAGCTCCTCTCCTCCTACGGCGCCTCCCGCGCCGCTACGCCCTTCGGCACGCCCGAGGAGGTTGCAACCGAAGAAGGCCACGCCGACATCGCCGCCTGGCTGGTCGCCAGCCGCGGCTGGACGCCGCTCGCGCACCTTGAGACCCTCACCGCCGCCCGCGCCACCTCCCTCCTGCGCAGCGGCGCAAGCCTGCACGAGGGCGAGCCGACGCCGCTGCGGCGCGCCGCGGGCGGCGCGGGCGAGGCGGCGGCGCTGGTCCGGCGGGCGGCGGCGCCGTGGTCGCCGACAAGCCACTCGCTCTTCCCCGCGGCGGCGCGCGCGCGGGCGGCGCGCCTCGTCCTCTCGCTCTACGAGATCCACGAGCGGTACCACCTCGATTCGGCCGGAGCCACGAACGGCATCGCGGCGCTCGACTTTGGCCACTGCGTCTTGGGCTTCGCCATCGCGCGCGAGACGGAGTAGGCCGGCGGTGAGAGTCTTTGCCTCGGCTCCGACCATGGTCGTGGCTCGTGCTGTTTGCTGTCTTGGGTCCGGAACCGCTGTTTGGATTGGGAGAGTGCGCATGTTTTCGCGCGCGCGCGGGGGGGGGGGGGGCTGCGATGGGGGAGATTGTAACAAAAACACATATGTTCTCCAGGGGTCCTTTGAGGTACCGATTGAGAGAAGAACACAAAAAGAAAAAGAATCACACGTCCCGCCCCGCTCCCACCGAGCGCCCTCGAAAGCCAAAACGCAAAAGCTGGCTCAGCCTCCCGCGTCCCGGCGCGGACACGCTTCGAACTTTACCGCTCGCGCTGCCGAAAAAGATCGAGACAGCGGCGGAGGACGGCAAGGTGGTTGACATGAGCGCTCTCAGGCGTACGCGGCACAGCATGCGCACACGCACACAACTCTTCATGCTAACATGCACATGGGTGTGCACACACACGCACATGCACTTGCACAACGAGCGGAGCACAAAATGTGTGCATGCGGTGCATGTGCATGTGCTTTTTTTACGTAGTGGAGCTGTCCCTGAGTCAGACGCGGAACACTGCCCCCCGCCCAGCTCGTGGAGGAGGTCACTCACAACGAGATAGCCGTAGAGAGAGAGAGGGTTCGTCATTGATTGCATATAGACAGACGTGTGTGTACAGCCTTGGAATGCGCTCCGCGCTCAGATGCGAACGATGACGTCGCGTGCCTCCGCCGTCATCCTGGCCGGCCTGCGCGAGAACGAATAGCGCTTTGGCCTCACCGCGTGGAGGGTGATGACGCGAGGCCCGCGGACTATCATATCTGCCTCGGGCTCGCACGGCTCGGGCTCCTGCGCGTCGTAAGCCTCCGCCGCCTGAGTGTCGAGCCAAGTTCGCTGGCTCTCACGAGGCCCAGATTCGTAATCGGGATCGTCGCCCGCCGCCTCGGCCTCGCCCGCCTCCACCAGTGAGTCACGAGCAGCGGAGGAGAGGCGCCGGGCGGTAGCCTCAAAGATGTCGCCGGTGCCGCCCTCGGTCTGATCCCCCTCGTCGCAGCCCTCTATCATTCGCAGCCACTCGCACGCCTCGCCCTGCAGCGCCTCAAGCGCCGCCAGGTTGGCCGCATGCTCCGTCGCCTCCGCACTGCAGGCGCTCCGCTGCCGCGCCACTTCTTTGGCGAGATACGCGGCGCGCTTCTCGCGGCGCGCTACGAACGCGTCGTTGCTGCGCTTTCTATTCGCGTCGCGCATCGCGAGCAGGTACATTGCCCGCTCGTGCGCATCCGCTGCACCCGCCAGCATCTGCTGCAGCAGTTGCTGCGCCGACTTGCTATCTCCAGACGAGAGCGTGGCAGCCGCCTCAGCCACTTGTGCCAGCATCTCCTCGCTCCGGTCGCCTGACTCCTGCTGCGGCGCCGTCTGCCACGAGCCGGGGATGAAGATGGCCGGCTCCGCCCCCTCGACAGCCTCAGGCAACAACTTCAACGGCTGCGAGAGGAAGGCCGCGAGCTGCGCGCCGTCACCACGGCAGTAAAAGCTTTGATGCCGGCGGCCGGCCCGATCGAAGCTCGGGAGCGCGCGCACCTGGGCCGGACAGTGGCAGGGGGTGAGCGAATCGGGCGTTGCGGCACACGTGTGCCCAGCGAGACACACCTCGAGCCGCATAATACATATATCTCCGGGCGCCCCCGGGCCCTCTGAGGCCGTGGCCACGCGGCGTTTCCGAAATGCGGCGGGCGCGTGCTTTTATAGCCCTATATGTTTTACCCGGACGCGACCGCACTCGACGGTGGCGGAACGTGGTACTGTGCGAATGTGGACGGATTCACACCCGTGCCGCAGCACTGGAGAGCCGGTTGGCCGCTCTGTGTATCTCGAGACCTCGAGAGAAGACCTCCCCGAGGGCCCAAGTCAAGAATTGGCTTTCTTTCGGCGGGCAAGAGAGCCGGCGAGCCGGACGGGACCGACCGCAAGGACGGCCGTTGGATCAGCACCACACTCCTTGTGGTGGGCTGGTGGCGGCGTGCCGTTCTCCCATCCGGCATCCCTCCCTTGTCCTCTGTCTGTCTGCTTTCTTTCTTTCCAGTGTCGTGCGAGGCCGAGGGTGTTTTGTTATAAAATTCTTTCTTTCTTCCAGACAGACAGACAGACAGACGAACGAACGAGCAGCCCCTTACTTAGCGACAACCAGCGGTGTTGAGAGAGAGAGAGTTCATCTCTCGAGGTTCTCGAGGTTGATATCATTTGGCCGCGTTGGGTGGGTAGCGAGGATTGGTGTAACGCGAGCCATGGGTTGTAGCTTGTAGGGGGCTCGCTGCGAGGAGAAGGGCGGTGTAATAAGAAGCGGACTATTACTATTACCCGTAGTCCGCCCCGCCGCCCCGCTCCTCACCATCGGGCCGCATAAGCGGCTGCCACGGCACGCCTCTCGCAGATTCGTTTCTCGCGCCTGGGTCAGGGCGCGGGGGGCATTCCCCGGCCGGGTCGCTCGAGCATAGCGTGGGGGGGGGAGAGGGAGGGAGCGAGAGGGAGGGAGGGAGGGGGGGGGGGGGGGGGGAAAAAAAAAAAGAGAAAAAGAGAGAGAGAGAGAGAGAGAGAGAGAGAGAGAGAGAGAGAGAGAGAGAGGCGGACTACGCGCACGCCCTCTCGCGCTCGGACACCGCGTGCAGATGTACCTGTTCGAAGATATCAACCTCGAGAACCTCGAGAAAAGCCGCCGTTCACAACGTGACAACCCTACGGCGTCGACCTGAACCCGCGCCGATGAGATCGCTCAACCTCCTCCTCGTCGGCTCCACCGCCGCCCAGCAGGGAATTCACTGGTTCCACACCAAGGGCGGCTGCGCGACTCCGCTGGGCAGCAGCGGTCAGTACGATGAGAGGTGGCAGGTGACAGAGATAGCGTGTCGCGATGAGTGCGCTCGCATGATCGACTGCCTGGCGTACGAGTTCGGGCAGGTTGGAAACTACAACCTCTGCGAGCTGCACAAGGAAGTGCTCGCCAAGACCTTCCCCGGGGAGCACGGCATCACGTGCCATGTAAAGGCGTGCCACCCGCCTCGGCCGACGCGCCGCCTCACCCACGCCTCGCCCGAACTCACGCCTCGCCGCAGAGTCTTGATCGCGCCGCCTCATTCACACGCCTCGCCCGACGCTCCGCCCCACCCATGAACAGAGCGTTTACCGCCTCATGAATAGGATTCCGACCGGAATCGCGCCGCGTGGATGGGCCTCTTCGACGCCCCCAACCAGGTGGTGCAAGCGACCGTCGCTGCGCCGCAGACGCACACGAGCGCGCGAGCCGACTGCACCGCCGCGACTGCCAAAGGACTCAAGGACCTCACGGCGCTGCCAGGCAAGCCGGGCGACCTCCGGGGCTGTATCTTTAACGACGTGGACATGTCGGGCGGCGTGGTCATGGAGGGGGTCGAGTTCGACTGGTCGTCGTTCCAGCGCGCCATCCTACAGGACGCAAAGGCGAACGGCGCCTCGTTCCGGCGCGCGCGCCGATGCCAGCGGGGGCGGGGGCACACAGCCCCGACCCTCTCCTCAGCCGCGCGCACACCCCTCCCGCAGGCACGCAATGATGGCGGGCGTCGTCCTCTCGAAGGGCTCGTTCGAGGGGGCCGACTTCTGGCGCGCCGACCTGAGCGAGGCGCAGCTCGAGTCGACCACCTGCTCGCGGTGCGAGTTTGAGTGGGCCATCCTCGTGAGGGCGCGTATGGCGGGCGCGGTGCTGCAGGACGCGAAGCTCGGCTACGCGACGCTGCAAGGCGCAGACCTGCAGAATGCCGACCTCACCCGCGTCGACTTTTCGCTCGCGAACTTGGGCGGCGTCACTCTCAAGGGCGCAAAGTTCTCGGGCGCCGACGTGCGCGGCGTGTCCTTCAAGGGGGCCGACACCACCGGGTGCGACTTTGCCGGCGTGGTCAACATGCACAAGGCGCGCTGCGACGGCCACCCGACGGGAGGCCAGGCCGTCACTCGCTGGGGCATCCAGGCAGGCTGCGACATCAACAACCCGCCGACCCGCGGTTATGCGCCCTGAAAGGTAAGCTGCGCGGCCCTGTGTGTGTGTATGCGCGCGCATATTCGTTGCGTATAGGTCGTTCATGTTTCACTCTGGTGTGCGATAATATGCCCTACTGTAACGGCTGTGCCTGAGCACACTGCTGTAATTAAACGTCACTGATTTTACATACATCACAAAACCATGGGCGTGGCCGTCTCAGATCGTCCCTTCGACGATGATCGTGCGTCGTCTTGGTAGAGTACTGGGCTGGGTCTTTAGCGTTTAGGCATTGTGGGGTTGGCACTCCCATCGACCCTCATGACCTCCTGAGGTCTCTGAGATGGACACCAGTGGGTGTGGGACCACAGCCAGGATACACTCGAAGGCTGGGTAAGCAGTAGAGGTCGATACTCGACGCGTCACACATGGTCTGTGTCGCTGTCGGCACGCTGTCGACAGACGTCGAGCGACACCGGTGGCAGTGCCACCCAGGAGTGGTCGGGCGGTCATGAAAGAGCCACCATGTGATCCGTATGATGATTCCTGACAACCGCCTCAGTCAACTTTGGTCACAGTTCCCGCTCTGAGAGGAGCTGCGGGTCAGTTCGACAGCTGGAGCTGTGTCGCCGGCGTGCGGCGGCCTGCCTCCGGAGGTGCCTCTGAGGTGGACATTTTTTGGCCACCGTGAGAGAACGCGTTCGAATTTTCACTCCGGAACTTCAACTCCGCACGCGCACCGGCCAGGGCTACAACAGTGCCAGTGAGGCGGAGGCGCGAGTCGGAAGGACGCGACCGTCAAGTGATTCGGTCATTTTTCCTACCCGAGTATAATCGCTGTGAACCCAGCCACGTACACTTGGAGGTCTTGTGTTTGATTCCCTCCTCCTGCGTCCTGGGTGATGCCGAACTCCTCAAATGCGCCACCACCCAGGAGTGACGCGTAAGTTTGTGAGCGAGGGCGACTGCGGCGGGGGCTCGGCCGCGCCGTATTGGCGCGACCCGCTTGTCAATACGGGTTGGCACCTCACACCCATGGTCTCACAGTAAGGTTCGAGACGGCACGGATCTTGTGCTCCTATGCGCAGGTAGGATTGAGTCCTGTCACGGCCTCCAGGTTTTGACCGCTGTCTTGACCGCCTGCTTAACAACAATAGCGCGTGCTGCTGCGTGCGTGCGCGTGCGTGCGCTGCTGCTGCACCTCGATCCTGTACCGTGTTTGTTATGACCCCCCCAAATGAAAACACCACAGTGAGGGAGGGCGAGACGATCGAGGGGTCCCGTACCATGCGGAATCGTCAATGCTCAATCGACCCTATCCAGTGGCAGTGCTCTCAACACTCAAGTGCTCAAGTATCCAGTGTCAAGTGCTCACTAACACTATCGCAAGCACACAGAGACTAGACACGTGTGACGGAGCAAGACCCGCGCAGGCGTTTCTACTTCTTTTTCACGCCCAAAACGTCTCGGCCGTATTCCCTATATCTATCCGGCCTTCGGGATCACTGGCGGCATGAACGCTTCCAGCCCAGCAGCACGCCCGCTCACGCCGAAGAAGTCGGCATATTGCAGTCCGATGGCATCGACGAAGGAGGCCCCCTACAAGTCAGACGTTGCTCGTTGCGTCTCAGGTGAGAGAGGACTAGCAGCCAGCCGCCTTCTGCCCCCCAGCCCGGCGTGCGCGTGCCTCAATGTCCGCGCCGCGAAAAGAGGCCTCTGCGTCCGGGAGGAGGCGCGGGAGCTCAGCGGCGTGTGCGAGGGGAGATGGGAGGATTCGTCGGGGCCGCCGCGCGCCGGCGATCTTTGCGTTTGCGAAACTGGCGCCGCGCAGCGTCGCGCCCGCCAGGTTGGCCTTGTCAAGGACTGCCGACCTGAAGGTGGCATCGGTGGCGTCCGCGCCGGAGAGATCGGTGCCCTGGAGGACCGTGCGTTCGAGGCGTGCGCGGCGGAGCTTGGCCGACTTGAAGGAGGAGCCCGAGAGGTCGGCGTCCGATAGGTCGGCGTCGCTCAGCTCGACGCGGGAGAGCTTGCTGCGGGGGGCGGGCGGGCGGGCGGGAGGGGGGGGGGGGGGGGGGAAGCCTCAAAAAACTAACGCGGGCCTGCCCTGGCGATGCGTGCGCGTTGAGGGTTTTAACACACACACACACACACACACACACACACACACACACACACACACACACACACACACACACACACACACACACACACACACACACACACACACACACACACACACACACACACACACACACACACACACACACACACACACACACACACACACACACCTGCCCGCCATCGCCGCTCTGCTGAATTGGCAGCGCGTGAACACCGAGTCGGAGAGATCCGTCTGCTCCCACCGGCTGTCCCTCAGGTCCGCCGAGGAGAAGGTGGCGCGCGTGAAGGACGAGGCGGAGACGATGGCGCCCTCGAGCCGAGCGCGTACAAAGGTGACGTCCGCCCCCTCGGCGCTCTGCAGATCGGCCTTCCTCAGATCCGCGTCGCTCAAATCGGCTCCGGCGAGCCGCACGTTCCCGAGTTTGCACGACGTCATCGTCGCGCGCGCAAACGAGGCTCCGACGAGCTCCGAGGCCTGGAATTGCGCCTACGGGCGTTGCTCCTTCTTGAAGAGTCGCTCACTACTACTACTAGCTCCGAGGCGAGCAAGTGCGCCTCCTGGAGCCCCGCCTCGCGGAAGCTGGCGTTGTGGCAGTCGGCGCGGGTGAAGGCGGCGTGGCTCATGTTTGCCCCGTCGAGCTGCGCGAAGCGGAGGTCCACTCGGTCAAAGGCGGCAAACATCAGCTGCCGCCGGCGCAGGTCTGCGTGGAACAGGTCCGGGCACAGCTCGAAGTCCGCCATCGGCCTCGCGAACACGAGGCATCGATTAGGAGGCGGGCCGGGCGGCGGCGGCGGCGACCCGGGCGGCGGCGAGGGTGGCGGCGGCGGCGGCGGCGGCGGCGGCAAACGTGGCGAAAGGGGGGGTCCCGAGGGCGGCGTCGAAGGCGAGGGCGGTGGCGGCGGCGGCGAGGGTGGCGGCGGCGGCAGCGAGGGTGGCGGTGGCAATGGGGACGGCGGCGTAAGTGGGTGTGGCGGCGGCGGCGGCAAGGGCGGCGGCGGCGGAGGAGGAGGCGGCGCGGGCGCGGCGGGCGGGGTCAGCGGCTTCGGGCGGTTTGGGGGCGGCGGGGTCGACGGCGGGGACGGAGGCGGAGGGCCCGGCGGCGGCGGCGGCGGCGGCGGGGGGGGTGGCGGCGATGGCCAGCGGATTATGTGATGAATCGGTGTGCGGCCTACGTGGAAAAATACGCCAACATGAGTGTATTCAGAGCACCGCGTGATACGAGTACAGCTGAATGCGGTTGAGCACAGATGAAGAATACGACGTATTCCGCTTCTAGGGCGTGCGGCCGTCAAGGGACTTGACGAGACACTGGTACCCGCTGACCGGCACGGTGTGCGTGGGGATGGACGAGTGGAGCTCGCACCGCGCGAAGAGCGCGTTGCGAGACGAAATCCAGCCGTGCTCAAACCCGCGGCAGGTTCGGTTCGACGCGCACGCGTGCCTGCAAGCAGCCTCGTCGACGGGGGCGCCACTGGATCCGAGGAAGAGCTGGGCGGGGCAGAGAGGGACGCGGGTGATAGAGGGGTGCGAGAGAAGGTGGAGCGGGAGTCGGGACTGGTGCCGCATGCCTCGAATGCGCCAAGGCTTCCGCCCTTCGTGCGGCACGCACCCTGCTTGTTTAGGGGGCTGTACCACTGACATATGCCACCAATGCAGGGCGCTAACGTCCACCACGCCTCCGGCGCGAGCGGAGGCGGCAGTGGGGACGGCGCGAGCGGAGATGGCGGCGGCGGCAGTGGCGGCGGCAGCGGCAGCGGTGGCAGCGGTGGCGGCAACGGCGATGGCGGGGGCGGCGGGGGCGGAGGTAGCGGTGGTGTCATCGGCGGCGGCGGCGAGGGTGGCGAGGGCGCTGTCTTGACGTAGCAGACGGTGTCCGCGACGGTTGTGTCGACCCACGTTGGCGTGCTCACCGTACCCCGATACGTGTTGCAGTGGTAGTCCTCCCAAACTGGATTGGTGGATGCAATCAGGCAGCGGGACACGCCTTTTAGAAGGCACATTGGTGGCGCCCAAAACTCGTAGGCGACGCAGAGCGTATCTCGAGCACACAGAAGCCGGCAATCGCCGTGCTTTCGCGTCACCGATATTGCCGAGTTGGACGTCTTTGTGTTGTACGTGCCGGCCGTGCCGCTTGAATCCCGGCATGCTCCTCCTCTTGCGCCGCCGGGCTGTTCCCAGAACCACATGCACAATAGCCGAGAGCGAGGGGACACTACTCGCGCGGCCTCTTCAGCCAGGTCGACGTTCTCTGGAAACGACGCCGTAGAAAAGAATTTTTGCGAGGTCCCTCGCACGACACTTGGCACGGGACGAGAATCGGCGAGAGACTGCGAAGAGAGATAGGAAGAGGCAGACTCCCTAGGGTGGGCGACGGATAGCGCACCACACACCTCTCCTTAAAATCCCTGTGTGGTGGCGGCGTGCCGTCCTCCCATCCCTCCCTTGGGTTGTCTGTTTTCTTTCTTTCTTTCTTTGGCACGGGACTGGCGCGCACTGGCACTAACACAGGTACACCACGGGAGCCGAGAAAGAAGATTTTTTCGACGAGGCGATATAGCACACCAGGCTGTCGCCCTATCTCTCCAGGAGATGTCTGCTCTATTCATTTATTAGCACACCCAGTGGGACGATTGGACACAGGAAGACAGTGAGCCGCCAAAGGTGTCGTTGGCGCACGTGCTGAGTGGCAGCTGCGCTGGAAACAAGGAAGAGGCGCCTTAGGTCGAGAAACACACGGCGAGGGCGACAGCAAGAGTCGAACGGGCGGCGCCTGAATCAAAAGACACGGCCACATCCCTGAGACGAGCGAGAGCAGCCTCCTCAAAGGCAATGGGGTCTAGATTTGGGGCGCTCGCCGAAGAGGAGTACGACAAAATAGCGGCTCTGACACACACCGTGACAAACTCCCTCCCTGCTCCCTCCCCGAAAGAAAGAGAGAGGGCTCGCAGGAGAGGTGACGAGTGAACTGCAGGTAGTGGGGAAGGCAGCTTCGATCGCCATACAGACATGGGTACGAAACAACGACAAGACCAAGGCACGGGAGGAGCGAGAGAATATAGGATGGATAGGTCGCCCTCCATGCGCCGGGCCGAGCAGCAGCTGGCATTGTTCACACACCATGGTGACGAGACGCTGGCTGGATGCTGTTCTGAGAAGGTGCCGGTCAGAGGCATTGTGCACCCGCCCTGAGCCTCAAGTGCGTCCCAGAGCGGCACGGCACCTATACTGCCCATCTTGCTCACGTGCGCCTGAGGCTGATGCTGGTGTAACGTGGATCCACCACAGGAGGAAAGCGTCCAGCGAGCCGCATGCGTCGAGCGCAGCGTGGCGATGGTGGCAAGCACAAGGACGTTCTGCCTCACGTGCATGGGCATGCCGGCGTGGAAGGCCGATCTCCTTTTGGTTCGACCGCGCTCGCGGGTTTGTTTCTTTTTTTGAATCACAGATGCCGGACGTCGACTGGTGTGTGTCGTCGTGGTTTCGTATCAAGAATACTCACTCACTCACCGGCGATGGAACAGATGCGTGCGGCAGGAGAGGGAACGATGAGAGTGGGCACACGCGCTAGACGCCGCTAGCAGCTGTTAGTCGATCCATCCATCCACCAATTTGCTTGCCACAGCTCGCGCGAATCTCCCTCTTAACCCACCTGTAACATCTGTATAAGGGATCCCTACAACCGCTCACCAAGCTACATGTACCAAGGTGCGCCTCTGAAACCGCAGCGTGTCTTCACTCCCTTCCGGATTACTAGTACTCGAGTAGGACCGTAGAAGGCTGTCAAGGCGTCGCTTGTCACTCCCTACTCGCAGACGATGAAGCAGTTTTTCCTCCTCGTTCTCACGCTCGCGGCGACACACGGCGAGTTGGTGGACGACTCGCGCCCCCCCTGCCCTTGCAGCCCTGGAATTGGCTGCCTCATCTGCACGACGATCGCTCTCCGAGCCGACTGCATCCCCGACTGCTTTTCGCAGACGCCGTCACCCCCGCCACCCCCGCCACCGCCGTCTCCCCCGCCCACCAAGACGGCCAAGGCGGTCGCCTTCGCGGGTGGCGGCCTCATGTCCGTCGCGGGCTTCAGCGGTGTGATGACCGGCCTGCTCCAGGCCATGGGGGATGGTGCGAGCGCCGACGAGGGGCTAGCCCGTCTCTTTGGCGATTTTGACATCCTGTCCTCATGCAGCGGAGGCACATGGTTTGCGCAGGAGCTGCAGTACTCGCCACAGTTTGTCTCGCTCCTCGGCAAAATGGCGCAGGAGCCAGGCAGCGCCGGCGAGATCTTCAACGCGGACTGGATGGCGAAGCGCCTCGACAGGAAGGGCGCCAACTTGAAGGACCTCGCGAGAAAGGTTGCTACGTGCAGCAAGTCGCTGAAGCCGAAGACAGGCTCCTCCTTTGGCCTGGCACCAGAACCAGCGATGAATGCCAGCCAGCTCCTCGGCAGCATCGCCCAGGACCTTCCTCCTCAGCTCAAGGCTGTCTTGCTCCTCCTCGAGACGGCACTCTTTGACGGGCCCGGGCCGCTGGCGTCCTGGTCCAGTTACATCGAGCTTATGTACGCGCAAACGAGCGGTCTCACTAAGTCGCAGGGGCTCGGTGGCAAAGCCAACCCCTGGGCGCAGGGGAAACTGGGCGTCTGGAACGCAGCTCTCCCAAGCCCGAGGGCCTCCGGCAACACGGTTTCCAGGGCTTACGACAATGAGGGGCCCTCATTGTCGTACGACCCGCTGGACCACTACCCCGTCTGGGAGGGAAAGACTGGAGCTCCTGGGGCGGGCGACTACGCAGGCGTGCGATACGCGCTGCGTAGCACGCAAGACGCTTCGCTCGGAGGCTCGTGGCCCTTTCTGCTCCCAGTCAAGTTCAGCGCATACATCGGCAGCGCCAACGACGATGCACCGCTCCCCTTCTGTGCTTACAAGGAATGCTTTGGCCTCTATTTGGAGTACCAAGGTCGGCAGGGCGCCAATGGAACGACGCTCAAAGCGCACTCGCGCAACTTATCGGACATCTTCCGTACAGCCTACACGGCGGATGCCTTCGCCGTTCCCGTCGGCCCGGTCGGCGCCGCCTCCTCTGCGGCCGAGAGCTTCCAGACAGCGACGAAGGATGGGGAACACCTCCGGCTCGCTCATTTCAGCGGCTGTGCCACCTTGGCCGTTTGGGCAGGGGGCGACAGCGCCGGCCGGGCCTTCGACCAAGGCTCCAAGCTTCTCAGGGACGTGAGCGAGGCGCCCTCCATCTCGCAGGCTCTGCTCGACGATCTCGCCGCGGGTGGCCTCCACGCACTGAGTGATGGTGGCCCAACGGACATCACGGCTGTCGCACAGGCGGTGGCCGCGGCGCATAGCCGCGACCCCAGCGCCCATCACACCACGGTCGTCGCCTTTGATTTCAACAACAATTACCAGGGAGACGCAACGACCCACAGTTCCTACGAGACGTTGTCCTCACAGTTTCTCAACTACAATGACGATGAGCATCGACCATGGGAGTGGGACAACGACTTGAGTATCTTTGCGAGCCCCAGACGTAGGAAGGATCAGAAGATTGTTGAGTGCTCACCGACACAAGGCGATCCCTGTATGAACTGGACGACCAGGTTGACACCAACCGCGAAGACCACGTGCCTCAAGGAGGTGAGAATCGGCAAAATACAGGAAGCAACAACAGTGGAAAACAACTGGTTCGGAATCCTCGGGGGAAAGAAGGTGAATTACCACCTAATCCGTGTGGACCTCAGCGAGGACAGGGACAAATGCCCTTGGCAGTACACGATTGGTACCTTCAAAGCCAACTGGGACCTTTACGGGATCATCGTTCAGGAGCTCGTGGACGTAATGCAGGACAACAAGGATAAAGTCTCGGAGATCATGAAACTGTTCCTGGCGGAAGACTAAGCTCTGAGGGCATGTGCGCAAGGGCATGCTCTACTAGGGTGCACGGTGGGGGCCTTTGCCTCGCCCTGGCAGTGCGGCTTGCCTCGCCCTGCGCGACCCCAGACTTGTACAATATGAGACGAGGAGCGAGATATGAGAGTGAACAGATCATGCCGATCATGGGACAAGTGTGAAGTAAGGAAGGAGCCGTGGATCCGTGTGTGCAAGGCACGAACAAACAAACAGTGCACTGTTCAGTGGCGCTTTTTCACGCGCATTTTGTCGAATACGTTGTCGAATATAAGAGGATTTGGATTGGGGTTCGCCGAACTTCTCGTTGAGAACACAGACAGACGTACGTCACTCTCTCTCAACTTCTTTCTTCCTCTTGACGTCACCGAGCAGTTTGTTTGCGGCCGCTCCCTCCCTGCCTAGCTGGCGCCTACATACCCATCCATTCTATCTATCCACTTATGAAACAAATGCAAGGCCACACACACGACACAACTCTCGGCCCCACACATGCTACCCGCGTTTTTTTCTGCGCTCAGACACGCTTCATGTTGAGCGCCGCTGGTTAGTTGTTGTCCTCCGAGGTGTTGAGCCAGCGTCATGACTGCGGCCCTGCTCGCTCTCCTCCTCCTTCCAGCGCTCAACGACGACGCTGACCCTCGCACCCTCGTCCGCTGGGCCTCGTCGCGCTGCGAGCCGGCCGTAAGCGGCTCGTGCGGCCGCGAGCCGCACGGCTACTGCGACGCATCGGTCGGCCGGTGCGTCTGCTCGCCCGGCCGCTTCGGTCCGCGGTGCGAGCAGATGCACTACCCGGCCTGCCGGCTGCACCCCGACGGCGAGATGGCGTGCGACACCTTTGTCGGCCTCATGTCCTGCGCGTGCCGCCTCTCGTGCGAGCAGAGGTACGGCTCGATGGCGCGGTTCAACACGCCTCTCTGCTGGGACGAGTCCGTGTCGGACGAGGAGCTTAGCCGCCGACTCGAGTCCACCGACCGCATGCGCACGAACGAGCACTTGGAGGAGGACGAACGAACCCGGGCGGGCGCACGAACCACACCACCACCTCTATCTAGCAAGCAGAGGCTCATCGTTCATACCCAGCGTCACTTTAGTTGGGATATCTCTCATTGCGGCTCTACCTATCTAGAACCTAGCCCAGTCACGGACCGGCGTTGGGTGAGAAATCAGAACGGCTCGATTTGGCTTCTGCACGACCTCCAGCCACTGTGTCCACGAGCGGAGGCAAATGCAGTCCGGCACGTCGCCGATCCTCATGTAATACTTGAACCGCCCTGTGAAGTGCGCCATGTGGTATGGCACGAGCGTGTCGCAGCCGTCGCTCAGGAAAGGAGTGCAAAACGCGTCCTTCGCGCCCTCGCTGGCCGGCATCTTGTAGAGCTCACGCACGAGTTGCGGCCCTTTGTGCCGATTGTCCAGGGGCGCCATGCGAGCGTGAGAGTAGCCGCGCTGCTCTGCGTCCGAGCAATTCACGGCGCGCTGCGCAGAGGGCAGCCGTCGCGCTTGGGCGTTGACGAGGCGCAAATTTCGCCGACAGGATCCGCTGCAAACCGCCACGCGGTCGGCACGGGCCAACGCTGCCGCAACCAGCCGCCGTCCCTCAGTTGCGTAACGTCGAGTACTCGGAAGGGCGCTGCCGATGAGGCAAGGTCGCGTTTGCGCACGGGAAGCTGGCGCGACCGTCATCCTTGCCAAACCTGTCCGTCTGCATGTCGTGCCACGCTGTGATGATAGCCATGTCGACTGACCACTTCCTCTCCGAGGACAGTCTTGCTGCACCAGGCGACGAGCGATGTGAGAAAGGCGGCGAACGAGGTGAGCGCCGGGCGTCGCCATACGGAGATGGCGCCGTTCAGGGTTTGCGAAGGGTTTTTTGAGATCACTACAGTAGGTCTACCAGCGGCAGCAACGGGGGTGGCTGGTGTAAAGGGCGGCGAGGTCTGAGTAGATGCGCACGTCACAATCGACAAAGGCGACGGCGCCAAGCTGCAAGTCTGACGCGAGATGCGCGAGAAAGAGCCAGCGGACGATGGATGCCATCTCGAAGTGCTTTGCGTTAGGGTGTTTCGGTGGCGGGCCTGGATGCTTGCGAAGGACCGCGGCCGCTCCAGAGCGCTCTGCGTTGGCGCCCCAATCATAGCAGGCTGTCTTTGCCCGAAGAAATTGCTGCAATTGTGATTACGTCTAGAATGAGGTCGCGGTTGCAGAGCGAATTTGGCGACAATGTGGAGCAACCGTGGCGCGGGTAAACGTAAGAGACGAATGTCAGCCTGAAAATTCTCTTTCACAACCCGGCCAAGAGATGCGCGCCGGCAACGTTCACCTGCAGCCCTTCCACCGGGTCCTCTCCGCGTCCCTCTCGCGGCGCTTCCCAGAGGCGATCGCCGAGGCCGGCGACACCGTCGGGCTCACCATTGACACGCTGCGCGACGTGGAGCGCGGCGCGTCGGCGCTCGTGCTGTTGTGTGTGGACTTGACGGAGCAGGTGCTCTCCGAGGCGGCTTCGGCGCGCGCCCACTTCGTGGTGACGTACTCGCCGATGCCGCACTCCCCCTTCACGACGCTCTCGACGGACGACGTCCTTGGCCGGATCGTGCTCGGCTGTGCAAAGCACCAGATTGCGGTGCACTCAGTGCACTCGGCGTGCGACGCGGCGAGCGGCGGCGTGAACGCCTGGCTCGCCCGCTCGCTCGCGCGCGGCGTCGTGCGCCCCATCGTCAAGCACCCGAAGGTTGCCGACGCGGGGCAAGGCCGCGTGCTCGAGTGCGACGAGGCGACTCCGATCTCTACGGTGGTGGAGCGGCTAAAGGCTTTGCTGGGGGTACGCTTCCTGCGGCTCGCGCTGGCCGCGGTGGTCGCGCCCGAGGCGCTCGCAAAGGCGCAGGAGTTCCTCACGGTCAAGACGGTGGCGGTGCAGGCGGGAGGGGAGGGAGGGGAAGGAGAGGGAGGGGGGGAGGGGGTGGGGGGCGGGGGAGAGCGTCGCCATCAGCTCACCTGCCCACCCGCTGCCGCGCAGGTGGGAGAGGGCGCCACCCTGCTGCGAGGCTGGACGGGGGACTTGCTGGTGGGGGCCTCCCCCACCTGCACGGCAGCTGCAGGGTTGATTAGTGGATGACATAGGACACCTCGGGGGCGACCCACTCACTCTCGACGTCCTGTGAACTGGATTCTCTCTTGGCTCGACGTCCTCTGGCTTGTGGAGGGAGGCACTCTCCTCGGCCTCGTACGTGTGACGGACCCGCAAACCTGCCGCTCGCTTGCTCTCGCCTTTGCGACGCAGCTCTGCCCACCTCGGGCCCGAAAGGATGAAAGAAAGACAACCGACGACCCCTCGCGGCATAATTCCCGGGCGCTCACTCGTAATTCTTTTCCCA